GGTCATAAATATGGAATAGCCCTATCGTAATTTACACCAGACTGCCTTAGTGTCGCGATGACAAAATAGTATAAAGGGTCGTTAAGTGTACATAATATTGTATAGTATCCTGCGAGGGCGTAAATAATTGTTTTTTTATTCTATAAAACCAATATAGACTCGTGTTAGTACGAGTAGTATATTATAATACGATTTAACGTTCAATCAATAACGAATAAAATAAATAGACAGATATTATAATACTTACACACGGACTACGCCTAATGAGTTATTTTAATATATTCATTATTTTAAAGCCCACGAGCCCGACGAAACGTTTCTGTAGCCGTCAATAGAGTATTTTATTGAAATCTAGCAACTATACTTAATATAGGCATGGGTACTAAACTAGAGAACGACCGAGTTATACACGCGTCTAATGAGTTGTTGCAGTCGTCTACTTTTACTGCATATTATAGTTCTACGAAAACAATTTTCAATACTATAATATTATAATTACCACAATATAAAATTTGGCTTTTCGACGACTGTCGTTGTTCGTGTTTTCCAAATACAACCATTCGCGTTTATTTATATAGTATATGATTACAAATTACTCAGAACTAGAAATTGAAAAATTATAAACAGTTATAAAACGCTGGTTTAATTGAGAGTATTCATATAACCTGTCACAATCGGGTGTGCAGGAAGACGGTTGACCCTGTTACTAGAAATTAAGATATAATAAGCAATTTTAATCAATTACACGATAATGAAATTAAATAACAAGTATGTGTGTATCAGTTTATGTAATGTCCATGTTAATTTAGATTATAAGAGACATTGACTTCTAAATTTTACAAGTGTTTCAACGATATTTTTAAATACACGCTAGCTTGTTACATAACACGCTTTAAAAATGATATTAGACTCAAAATAAAATAAAGCTATCAAAAATACATAAATGGTAATTTCGACATTTGAATTATGGACCAACAAGAAACGTAAAATATCATAGACTTTTTCTGTCTAAAATAATAGTTGGGTACCTACACTGCGGGATCCGAATTTAATGCTCGAGGCAACAAGAAGACATACTGACGCGTACACCGTGTACGTAATATAAATTATACTATTAATTACAATAACGACGAAAAAACCCTATAAAAATGTCTGACGGCCGTACAGAAAGCGTTTTACAAAAACAAAATAAACACTATTATGTGAAATCCAAGGGTTATTTAATTTTATGATAATATTGTCTCGGTCTTTACTCTAAGGAAACTCTCGTACATACACATACACAGGGGACTAGTATTTAAAAGAAATTATTGAACTGGTTCCAGTGGGTGATCCGAGCGACCACGCCTTTTCCGGTCGACAATCTTATATACATGCATACACCTTGTATAGACCCCTCGGAGCCCGTCGTTTTTAACCGCCACCGGTAACACAATAATATTCCGCGGTCAATGTGGATTATACGCGAGGTTTTCCTTACTCAGCCGATTTTCTAATTAAATATTCGGCTCTTGATATTTATTGTTTTAATTCTATTTATTATTATTAAACGATCGACGAAAGCACCGCGGCGAGGAAAATAACGAAAGGGGTTGGACACGCGTTATCGGCTTGTGCCATCGTGCGGGGTGTACATAGAAATAATGTGTTTACTGTTTTCGTATGCTGGAGCCGTATACTATAACGATTTTGTGTAGTGTACCTAAGCGGTAGATCGGCGCCGGTCTTACCGTCGCCGACGTTTCCAGTGTCCCACCGGGTCCTCCTCGGGCAAGGCGCCGCACCGAGGCCGGTTGCCGGACACAATGCAGTACTAGACGACTCTGGAATACAATATTATATTTAACACCTCGCCGTTTACAAGGTATACGACCCGACGGAAATAATACTAGGCGACAAGTCTTTACTACCTGTACAACGTTTGTAGCGCTAATATCGTTTAGAATATTAGGACCGACAAGTTTGTAGCGGGTTGAACAGTCGTCTCGTTTTGGCGCCTTCGATACAACAAGTACCTCGAATTCGTACCTAGCAGATCCTAATCGGATACAAACACATCCGGTGGTCAGATTTTAGTATTTTTTAAGAAAAAACTATAGCGTAAGCATTGGCGCCAAAAAAATGTCTGTGGACTGTGAGACTTGAGAAATAGTCTCGACCACTGTAAGTAGGTAAGTTAATTTTATGGTCCCAACGTAGGGGTACACCATAGCTAAAATGTATTCAATGGACAACTTGTCAGTATACGAGCACTGATTAGTGTAAATTTGCTCACTGTTTGCAAATCGTCCAGCACACACACACACACACATATATATATTGGCCAATCTCGAATCTAATACACCGTAATTAACCCTGACGCGTACACACTTCCTACTGCGATCTACGGAACGCTTTGATTGATCGACCGAAAATTTCATACAAACACACACATACACAAGACTTCCTCTCTTGGCTTTACGAGCTACCGCTAGCGTAGCACAAGATAGGACGTTATAGTCGGCTATAATACACTATACTAATATAATATAATAATAATATACGCCCGTCGTTTATTTATTATCGGTACACACAGGACATACTGCGTATCAAATGAAAAACGTCAATTCGACAGACGGTCTATGCGGTAACTCGGCGTAAAAATAATTATGCGAGTGGACAAGAGAACACTCTAAAAAAAACATGTTATCAATTATTCATTATTATCATTATTGTTATTGTTATTATCACTTACTACACTCGGCGAAATCTATGAGTAATCGGCAACGAGTTTTCCAAACACACGCCGTTTACATAAGCGTACCTAACCTATTGGCCACTACGACATACAAAAAAAGTAACCCCAGTCCTCCTCCTCTCCGGATTATATGCATAATATCATGATAGTACACTCGAAGGTATTACGCGTACGGCGACAATGTGTATGTATACGTTAACCGTACTATACTAATCGATTATCGGTGATATATAAATCAATCGGTAGCATATACTGCACACAAATGATATAAGAGCATAGAATATTATTATTTCATTATTAAAAATCGAGGAAATGTAATGCCCTTATGGTACAAATTATACACAGGTAAGTTTAAAGTAATATAATGATAATAATAACCGTGTAATCGATGAGTTTCGCCTCCATATGTAATATAATAAGCGAATAAGACAAGAGCGGAGAACAAGATTATCAATTATCAACGTATTACATAAAAATAAAAAACAAAAAAATACGAGAAAACCGACGGTCACAAGTGGGCAACCTTATAGAAAACGGATAATCTGTAGAAAAATTGTTTAAAACACCACACGGTTATCGTAGGGTAATTAGTAGTTTTTTTTTTACCATGCGATCACTTATTGTACAATGACGTGTAAAACCAATTAAAACCTGCACACAAATAGAACGCCGACAGACTGGAAAATTACAGTTTTTTATTGTGATTTAAAAAAAAAACACTTATTCCGTAATATGTTTATAATATATACAATATGCATGCGTATAAATAATATATCCGGCGCAGTAACAAGTACAAGTTGTTTATAAATCATTATTTTCATAACAACAGCGCCTAATAAATAGTTACCTACTGACTACTGCGGAACCTAGTACTTATGTGGTCATTTCACCAACCATAGAATTTATTATTAATAATATTTCAAACAACACTTTGGACATTACTCGTTTCGTAGAACCCCATCGAAAATGAGGCAATTTTGCAATCATTTCAAAAACGATAAAGATCCAATTAAATTGCATTGATTTTCACTGCCAATGTTCAATGACGGATGAAAACGACCACAATTAATCGGATTTTCGATTAATCGTTTCTTATAAATACAAGTTGAACGTACGGAGACAGAAATATTCTATAGTCTTTGTACAGTACACACGAATAACAACCAAACGGAATGAATACATTTTCCAGAAACGGCTATTGAAGATTTAAATGTTAAAATAAATCAGCATGACTATGGTTTTAAGAAATATTTTTGTAACTAAAATTTTAAACAAAAGAAAATTTTTAAATATCTCGGCAGTAAAGTTTCTTGATAGTGCAGTCAATATTGATATTATTATAGTTATAACATCCGTTTAGACAACCGGAGATTGTAACAATGTGAAAAATAATTCTAATTCTAATATCTTTTTGAAGCCAATAACAACGCTATTAGTTTTATAAAAGCAAAACACAGCGGAATACCATTTTCAGGGCTAATCTTGAAATTTCGAGTACAAAAAGCAAAAGTGAAAAAAACATTTTAGTACATTGTAATTTGATAAAAAGAATTAAGATATACATTATTACGAGGGCATGAGGCTGATCGCATAAACCAGTGACACACAATCATCTGCGATTATCAAACCAACAGGTATTTTATCGGCGTTTAAAATATTTCTTTATAATCGCTCGATTTCTTTAGACTTTCGACCGTGTGAAAAACGTACAATGCGGATAACTTACAACAATTATTTGTCGTAAATACACTATCGGCGACCGGTGTTATTATTATTGTTATTATATCGATGTGAATTCCTAATCAAAAAAATAATGCCCGTCAAAAGTCAACAACCGCGCAATTTACATTTTTTTTTAGGGGGGGGGGTACCCTTGTTATTTGTAAATAATAATATGTATATACATATACATAATATTATAAATTATGGTGTGTATATAAACAACAGTAGGTAATTTATATTCTATTCTTGCCCCCGGGATAATACGTTCGTTTGAACTCGGTACTCGTGAACAACTTTAAAAAAAATAATAATAATCGAACCCGAGGACAAGATACCGTCTGAAGCGAACGCTTAAAATTCGACCAAAATTAAAATTATTACATTTACCTAGTCGTAAATCAATGTTTTTTAAGCAATATTATAATAATATTATTAGTACTTTTAAGGATTAAAAAAAAAAACAATATGACATGCCTAAGTAAGTAATAAATGTTGTCCAGAGAATAAAACTAACTGATGGCTTTTTTAAATAAAAACTTACCGTTTATGTATTAGTTCATGGTGACGGCAATTCGGTGTTTTGGACGGAAATCCTGTGAAACAACAAAAACCCGCGCACTAACTGTCCACGGATATCTCGCGCGGTATAACAACAACAATATTATTATTATAAAATATATTAAAATACAATATTAAACACACACTGGCGCGAGATTAAAGATTAAATATTAAAAACCGCGATTTTATTTTTAAAAATACATAATCAATTTTCTTTGAAATAATCGTAAAACCGAGTTAAAACAAAAAAACAAGATAAAAAATAAAAAAAATAATTTGTATTCACCGGACGACGTACAAACGACAAACCCACGTCGAGTTGCGGCTCGGACTGGTTTGAGTTTTTGTTTACGTTCTTTAGAACGTGTCAGCGTGTATATAATATAAAAAAAAAATAGTAGTAACGGTAATAACATGGGAGTGTTCAGTGTTGCTATACGCCACTATACATAACACCGCACGCCTGGCGGCTATTACTGTAGCCGGTGCATGGCGCGGCCAAGATTACAACGCTCCGCTCGCCATTTAACAGTGTTGCCAACGCACTGGCCATTGCACGCCGCATCGAGCTGATAACCTCGAGCGGCGATAAGCCACGATAAGAACCCATATTTTGAAAGTAAACACTATACTTAACAATAAAATAGTGGGTATGTATGTAAATTATGTTATTTACAACTATGTTCGATCAGCATTCAAATTTCAAATAATCAAAAAAAATACTGTACAAGTATACATTCCAGACATAAACCTCCCAAAACGTCTGATAATTCCTGTTGATTTTGTCAACTATGGTCTGCCTCTAAGCGGTTTAGCGTTAGGCCTGTTCTCGGCATCGAATAATTGTAAGGTTTGCCGATATGGCTACGATCATAGCAATAGACGTGTCTGTGTCGATGATGAGGGACATCAAGATTAAAGACACCAAGGAGTCGTTCACTCTGTTACAGTTGGCCATACACGGCGTCAATGTCCTATTAGATTACTTAGCCGTCCATTCCAAACATGAATTTGTCGCAGTCGTAAGTATCTTCTCACACTCAACCCCATCAATGCAAATTCAAAATTATTCATACATTTTTTATACATAATTCTTCATAAGATGTACCAAAATCAGTTACACGACTATATGTTGTCCCTCATAAAGTATGTATGTAATGTTTGATATTAATTTCAGGTAACATTTTCCTCGTCTTGTGAAACGCTATGTACGTTTACAAGAGATTATGACCACATCAAGGCTAAAATATCGCAGTTGGATTTTAAAACCAATACAAATTATAACGCAGCAATTTTGGGTATTAATAGTTTAGTTCACCACGAATGGTCCAATTCTGTAATGTGCCAAGTAAGTTGCTGTTGTTTTTTTTTTTTTAACTATTGAACAGTTAATTTTTATTCTGTTTTGTTTTAAGGTAATTATAATCACTGACGGCCATTGTTATGAAGGCCTTCGAAAGCCGGAAATGTATCCATTTAAATGTCCCGAAAAACTGGTGGTCATTCCGTTAGACCAAAAGCCATCCATATATAAAAATATTTACGACACCAACGAATTACCAAAAGATATCGGAACTATAACACCTCCTGAGTCGCCTCTTTCTCCGTCATCTGTTGCTAAACTTTTTGAGAAATTCGCTCAAGAGACATACATACCGTATCATACAGTACTGCGTTGTGGAAATTTAAAGTCTGATGTTCAATTAATTCCTCCTCTAACGGTAATTTGAAAAAAAATTATTATTGTCGACAACTGTACTACATACGTGTACTAGTGTACATTAAACTTATAAATTGAACACATAACTCCCATAAATCATTATTCCGAATCGTCAAATAAAAACTGCAAATTTGTAAATATTGTGTATAACAGTGTATTTATTTGCATGTTATAGACACACAAAAGAGTTAATGATTTTGAAATAATAACTTGCAAGGCTGGAAACGAATTGAACATTATAGGATTTATGGAGTCGTCGAAATTAGAATGTCCAGCTACATTGTCTAGACATTTAGTATTACCTCGAAAATCATCCGACGATTGTACTGAAAATGGTGAATTATCCTCGAAAGTTCCATCGTTTTGTGTATTACTGCACGGAGCTTTAAAAGTATAAATAATTTATTTATACTAGGGGAAGTCATATTTTTTAGGTTACTGATTTTGGTAAAATTCTCCAAGCGAAATCTTAATGAAACATAAAAATACATTTTTGTCAACCAGTTGGAATCCCTAAAATAGATAAAAAAATATGTCTGTCAAGCTCTTCTCAAGCGATTATTATTGACAGTTCAATCCTTTTGTCCAAAGCTAAACTTTTGGTATTTTTCTCAAACCTGAGCATTGTGTAAATAATAATGAAAATATTATTAAAGTTAAAATTGTATTAATAAAAAACTAAAATAGTTATTGAAACTGTAATTTTGCTTGAACAAATATTCAAAATAGAGTTTTAAATACATTTTTGTTTGTATCAATTTGAAGATAGCAAGTAAAAATATATATTTAAATCAGTCTTCAATATGAACTTTAAATAATTTAAAAATAACAGGTAATTTCAAAATATATCATAGTAAATTATTCCTAATAAAAAATTAAATACTGCGCAAAATACAAATTATTTATCTCGCAAGTTTTTAATAATTCATTTGTTATATAAACAAAAAAAAGTCAGGTTTGACTATTCTTCCTCATATCAGTAACATAAAATAACTGTTGTTAAATAATTTGTATGCTCAAAAAAAACACACGAACTTGTTTGCATGTTACGAGCATTTCTCATCTTTTTAATGTGTTTCGTGAGCTTCAAAGTCGATTAAATTTAAATTCTCTAATTACTGTTAGTCGACCAAAATAGTAAAATACATGCCCTTTTTATTTTCATTTGAGATTAATTTTCCAGAGTTTCATTGAAATCATTGACCCCGTTGGTATGACCTCTTCTCATCAAAGTAAATAAAAACAAAATTATACGAATATGTTTTTTTTAAAGTATCTATATTATTTATTATAGGTAGAAAATATGGTAGCATTTTGTCAACTCGATACAAATTGGTTTGGGATTTTTGTCAGTTGGTCTGATAATAAAAAAAAATCAAATTTAATGTTGATTTCTCTCGAACCCGGAGCTAACGCAATTCCTTGGTTGGGAGACCTCCGTAGCCTCTCTCTATCATCGGTGATAATCAATCAAGGTAAGACGAATTCAAAAACGAATATAATATATTTATATTTATTTCAATTGCGTTTTAACAGAACCTGATGAACTGCAACCAACAAAAACCGCCGACAAAAGAAGTTACAACCAGTCGCAACTAGTGTGGATCAAAGAAGCTGGTCTACAAGCTGACATTCAAAAAATTCTACGGCAAGCCAGAAAAATGCCAGACAAAATTCAAAGTTTTTACAAGGTAATTTATCTTGGAGATTTTTTTTGTTTTTATCTTATATCTGCCCATTTTAGGAATTGAATCGAATTCGGAAAGCTGCTATCGCTTACAGTTTCACAGATCTGTTGGTCAACATAGCTGACCTATTAGATATAGAATGCACCAATTTACCAGGCAACACGCATCCGGATTGTGCATTGCAGCTGACACACGCTGCCGGAGAATTACGAAAACCAAACGCCATGGATTCTAAAGTCACTATTCTTCCATTGGTAATGCGAATTTACTCACAGCAATTTTATTTGAGGGTTGAAAACATTTTATAAAATCTTAGAGTTGGCAATAAAAACCACCAACCCCTGTCCTCCCCCCTAAAGCGAAACGGGTTGATGTGTATTTTGATTAAGCCCAGCAAATGTTTAGTAATTACCCCAAAATTGGTTTTATTGGGCTTATATGTGTCCAAAACAACGTAACTGAATTGGGCTTAAAAAAAAAAAATAGTAAAACCGATTTATCGCAATTTCTGCCAAATTTATTTAGATTAATTAAATCGTTTTGGTTTTATTTCTACACAATTTTGATAACGTTTTCGATCTTATTTTAAATTAAATTTTATTATATTGATGTAGGTTGATTAATTGATTTTTTTATTTTATTTTAGGACACCTCTTATAGATAACTATAATAATCCAATGTTATTCAATGACACCAGTCAAGTTTTATTTAAAAAAAAAATCAAAATTGATGAACATTTTCAGCGACAACATTTAAATTATTATTATATTTTTTTAAATACTAAGGTTATAAATATTATTATTATCATATCGTTGTATGTCATTGATAGGAATCAAACTTTGTTAAATTAATTGTAAAATTAATAATTTCATTTAAAGATCCACTGTTTAGAAAGAAACTATTAATTATTATTTTTTTATTGTATTTGTTTGTTTGCTGAAGTCAATCCAGCATGACTATTTCAAGCCAACATTAGTCAGAATTCACTTTTAAAACCAAGTACCTAAATAAAAAAAATATTAACACTATTCAATTAAAGAATATATTAAATTTAACAAAAATCCAAAGTTATAATTAACACATACATTTGTTCAATAAATCCATTATTTGATCATTATTTATTGAATTGTTTATACATAACAACTTATGTAAATAGTTTTACCAAAGACATAAATGTGTTGGTATAATTTGTTGAAAAAAAAAAATAAAAACCTAAGAAATGTTTATGAATTTGTATATATTATATGACTTAAATTTTGAACAATGTAGTTTGTATATTATATATTTTATCGAGTATTGGTAAAACGTTTTAGAAATAAATTGATTGACATATTATATCACCAATAACCGTACAATCTGCTGTTACCAACCAAATCAGAAGTTGTTATAATATTAGCTTTAGACTGATTTTGATATAAATCATAAAACATTATCCTTGTGTTCAAATATAAATTAACTATAAGCTACAAATAGTATGTGGAAAGGTGAGAAATAAAATTTAGCTTAATAATTTATTGTCTTTACGATTAATTGTATAAATATTTTAATCTTCTTCTAAACTATAATTATATAATTTAAATGTAAACTTTAATTAGTGTCGTGTATTATAATATAAAATAAATAAACGAAATGACAACGTTTCAACAATCTAGTCTGTTTTAATAAAGTTACTAATAAGTAATATGTACATACAAATACAGGTGCTTACCAAATATTCCTACTAAATTCATATTATAATAAAGGATAATCTATGAATTAATAGAAGTTCAACATAATAGTCTGCTCGTTTTACATTAATTGTTTACAAAACAAAAATCAACAAGTTTAAATCAGAGTGCAAAAATATATTGGTACGCATTAGATAACTTTTGGTAAACATAATATAACAATTATCAAATAAAATGTTTAATATATATTTATATAATCGCTATAATAATAATTGTAGCTTGTACAAGGTAACCCTAGGTAATTGCGTTGATTATAATTATTATATAGGTAAGTACTATAATTTTTAAAAATTGACGATTTATAATCGTTCAACAAAATGGCATGATATTAATAATAACAATAAAGAAAAGATATAGTAATAAATAAATCCGCTGTATTATAATCAAAATATTAATCGTTAAATAATCATCTAAAGCGGAAACAAAAAAAATGTACAAGACTTTGCTGTTGTTAATATTATACAAAGTAAGTACGCGGTAGGCGACAAAAAAAATAGCCAACACTTATAAATAAAATTATAAGAAATTAAAGTAATTATAAATTTAAGAGAAAAAAACGAGCGTTTCGTCGTAACATATTTACTAAATTCCTTATTTTTCTTTTTTAATCATAATTTTTGTTATTAATAACCGATAAAAAAATGTTATTTTTTATAATCGCAAAAAAAAAGTTACATCCAATCGAAGCAAAGATTTGTTGGTGAAACATATTATACCTAAATGTGAACAAACAAACGATAAAATATTTTTAAAAACAAATCCAGTCGAAAACATAATAATTAATAATATTATAGAACTGGTACATGTGAAAGGACGTGTAAATATAGAATTTTGCGATTTTTGCTGCTAAAAATAAAATGTCGTGACTCGTATTAAAACGTTTTTGATCATATTATAATATTATTATTATTAAAACTATAATAACTGTTATCATACGGTTTTATGGAAACGCCGAAAATTCACTATTATGCGCCAGACACAATAATTATTAAATAATAACGAAAAAAAAAAATACAAAATAATTTATCAGTTCTTGGACGTCGTTTTTGGACAATTAACGTTTTACCTAAAATAATAATTTCAAACTGTTAAATTTTGATTGATAATAATTTATATTGTTTTTTTTTTTTACTAATTTTTGACACTACACTTTATTAAAATATCGGCATAAAAATGGCAAACCGACTTGGTGGGGTCCATAAAACCGTAGCTTTATTATTATTACTATTTCGTTGGACCGAGCTTATATTACATTATAATAAAACGTTTCGTCCCAGTTTTTTCGCCGTTTAAATATTATTATTAGTTTGCTACGGAGACGGATGAGCTCATCATAACATAATATTGTGTATTGGTGTTGTTTGCAACCTAACCCTTCCGGTGCCCTTTCTAACGCCTATATCTAAAATTCTGTCTATTACTCAACTGTTCCCATACCCTGCGACGGTGTGTATTGGTACACTATAAAAAAAAATATATTATATAATATAATAAATAGTATGTACATTGTATTTGTATGGTAAAAACGACAATTTCCACTCTACAAGATAATATATAAAATATCGTTAGACCTATTGGGTATTTTATTTTTGGTAACCAGTTCTTCCCTATAAACGCTCCTCCCCCGCTCTCCTATATCAGTTGTACATAACACGTTAATCGTTATCACTGACTCGGGCGATAAAAATTACAATGTTATCACAAAATAACCAGCAGGGACAGTCAAGAAGACACATAAGAACCCATGTTATTCTTGAATAATGTCTCTTCTGGTTATACTGTTCTTTTAGTCGCTTAAAAATAATACTGAAGTAAAAAACATATGATCGATGCTTGTTGACTTTTTGGACGGATACATACATACAACGTTTTTTTTTTTATTAATGAAGCGTTTGTTCTTTTTAGTCGGTTATCAATACGAGGTGGCTTCGTAGAACAGTATGTACGCCTCGTTGCTGATCAGTTTGCCGGTCGAAGTGATTTTGGACACCGAACTGTCGTTGAAGAAATGCCAGTCACCGGTGTCCGAGTTTTTGCAGAACGCCGTGTAATGTCCGGCGATGGGCGTGCCCGAGTGGTTGGACACCGCGTACAGGTTGTACCGGGTGTGCGGCTGGATGCCGCGAGCCGAGCCCGACACGTACCGGCCCATGTCGAGCGACACCACCGGGAACGACACCAGGGACGTGATCTTCTTGTACGAGTGCGTGCCCTGGAAACGCTTCAGGTGCAACACCAGATACCTGGGCAACTTCTGAAAGCTGTACGCCTTGTACATCTTCCGGTCGACCTTACACACGCTGCACCGCGGCTTCTCGCGGAAGTCCAGCACTTCTTCTTGCGTGAAGTTCGCCAACAGATCCGCGAGCGACACCTGATCGGTCGCGCCAGACGGCAACGACAACGACAAGTCCCAGAACACCTGACAAACGATACGAAATAATTTAGTTATCGCATCATCTGATTTTGTTATTAATACCCTCTTATCCATAATTTCCACTCCTCGTATTCCCTTTCTCCTACCTAAATTTCTGCCCCTTCATTTCCGTTTCCCCTCATCTCTCTTCACCTTCCCTTGACCCTTTCCATCTCCGCTCATCTCTTCACCACAGCTTTTCTCTTGATGTCGTAAAAATTCAGATTAGGTAGATGTTTGTTAGACCCAACTCATGACGAGTAACGCAAACTTCCGACAGACCCACAGCCACAGTCTTATGGATATGTCTTATAATATAAGACTTATATTCATAAAAAAACGATGAAGGTTTAGATTTCGTCGGGAAAAAGCGAGCTCCGAATTGAAAAAAAAACCAAAAAAATGTCACACAGTGCCAAACCGGGACAGATGCCAGTGGAATGTAATGCATATGATGTACAATAATATAGTATTTTTAAATTCGTATATTGGGTCAATGCCTACCTCGAAAGTGATGCTTTTGTGTCCGCACACCGAACACTCCAACGTCGATTTCAGCTGTCCGGCGAAAAGGTCCACGACGGCGCTGTTGTCCAAAGCCAAGTACCGTCGCCAGTATTCGGCGGCCAATGCGTTATCCTTGAGCGAATCGTCCACTTCCGCCGGACACTTGGGCTTGACTTTCACCCGGTTGATATCCACGTGAAGCTTGTCCAGCAGCAACCTCAAAAACTCTTGCGAGTCTTGCTGTTCGTAGCCGGCAAACCGGGGCGACAACCGTTGGAACGCCGACTTGAACGCGGTCGTGTCCACCGGGTTGTCGGTGCCTGTCCAAAGTCTAGTAAGCAGGTCGCGGTACGGCCTTATCAGCTTACCGTCGGCCGTCGTGTCGTCCAGCACGTGGTCGGTCAGGCCTTTAGTGTTGCTCAAGCACTGTAGTACCGAGTTCATGTAGCACGTGTTGCCGATGTTCCGTATGCCGACCACCCCCTTCTTGGCGTCTGCCGGCTGCTGTCTGCTGTTGGCGTATGTGGACGACGACTTCGCATTGTTGTCCGCGGCGTATCTCTTGACGTTCATGTTTACCGCATATTTGTCGTGGTCTTGCGTAGTGTCCGGCTGTTGTTGCTGCTGCTGCTTGTTGTATTTTTCGAAGTACGTTAGATTGCTAGGCCTGGTCGATGTGTAACCGGTGTTGGACGTGTAAGATTTATTCAGATAAACAGACGGCGATCTGTTGTACAACGAATCCAAACGTTTCTTCGCCATAGCGTCGTACCGTTTGTCGTTGCCTAGCGACAAAGTCTTGGTGTCTCTGGTCAGGCTGCTGGACGAGTATGCCGACGGCGACAGGCTTTTGCTCAGGCTCAGCGACCGCACGTTGCCGTTGATGTCGGTCAGCCTGGGACTCTGCCTGGGCAGCGACACCGTCCTGGTCGCGCTCCCATACACCCGCGACAACCGGTCATTAGACGGGCTCAAGTCTAGCGCGTAACCGCCGTATTTGGTCCTGGTACTAGTGCTACTGCTGCTACTGTTGCTGCTGTACTTACTGGAGCATTCGGACGAGTACATTGTCGCGTTATTGGCCGACGGTATCGCGAAACATTGCTTTTTTCGCCTGTTGCACTACAGAAATTGCAGTCGTCCGAATCGAACTGCCGAATGATTGTCGTCGTCGTCGCCGTGGTTTTTTTAAATTGTATTATTAATATTTACCGTGACGTCACGAGGTTCTCTTTAACATCTGTTCGGCGAGATTACACACTCACATATACATCATTTTTTATAATAATATTATAAAACCGCGTTTGCTACTGTCGTCGCGGCCGCCGCCGTCGAATGATCGATGTGGGCGCGCTCGCTTAGCGTTTTTTCGATGATTTTATTTTTAGCCGCGGCCGCGTGCGCGATAACCGTCGTCCACAACGCCTGGCGGCCGCATACTATCGACGACGATATCCCGACCACCATCGATGGCGTCCCGATGTCACCGGTGGCGGTCACGGCGCGCGCGCGTCTATTGATTAACCTACTTCGTCTCTACCGTTTTATTTTAGCGTTGTGTGTGTCTGCGTGCCAAGCGACTCTTCAATGCCGCCGCATCGTATGTACATGCGACTAATGGTCTTGTGTACACACAGACTGCTGTGTGTGTGTGTGTGTGATATTATAGCCGGTGGCGACACGCAACCCTTTTGAACGTATATCTATTTTTGCAGTCGATCGTCTTAGACCAAAAAACAGCCCTAACGGCCGTCGTGGTGTGTACCTCCCTACTTACGGCTGGTGTGCGAAGGCGGGCCATTTTTTTTTATGTGAGTTACAACAGTCACTGGCCAATGCAGTAACGGCCGGCCCGCGACGCGAAACGAAAAGTATTACAGACAAACAATATAGGATTAACGCGAGGTGGTTTGGTCTGAAACATTGATGCACGCTCACGCATAGCAAAACTGGCACTTATACCAAGGCCACTGCGTATCTTATAGGGCTGTAAAGGAGACGAGCAATCGATAGGCGTTTTGCCTTTTTGCACAGTATTGGACCACACCTTTTCTGTGCACCAAACACACATATTATAATATCAGCTGTATGACGTATGAAGGTACACATTGCGTCTGTGCGGTGTGTGTTTTTGATCAGAGATCAGCTCGAAATTTTATTTACTTTCGAAAGTTTGCATATTCTGCTATTTATTTACGTTTGTAAAATGGCGTGAAAACGCTATCAAATACTAGTGTGTGACACGTACTTAGGACAATATTTGTGGCCGCACCACGTAGATTAAAGAGTTTTTGTTTTGTGAAAATAAAACGACACGCACGACAACGAAATACCTAATTTTCAAGTTGCTTTTGACCGTTGAACATGCCCAACGCACAAAAAAACTTTAAACAGAAATGTGTTCAGTACGGACAACGTTACAACATTGGTGTGGTATAATGATTAATTTTTTTTATTTTGTTGGCATCCCATGATTGATTTTTTATCTCTCAGCTCTGACCTCTTGAAGTATAATTGCATCTCAAGCAGTATTGATTATGAAGCGCGATTAAGACATATATTATGCAGATGTTTTATTGAAAATAACATCTGATCTATTTAAGATGAAAATATATACGCTTTTTGACAAGTTGAAAGCTCTTCAACGGTTTGAAGTAAAAAAAATTAGTGTAGGTTAGGTCAAATCATAACCCAAAAGCTTAAATGTTATTGACTCGATTAAGAAATCATTTAAAACAGACGATCGAATAAGCATTATTTTTGTATTAGAAATATCGGCTGGCTAATAGTAATACGTTTTTTTGATGTTATATTATTTATATATTGACTCGTTTACTATAGGTACGTGGACATGTTTTATATATCAACTAAAATAACGATTTAATTTATTTTGAGGCCTGTGAATTACCCATAGTGGCCCTGCAAATAATAAAAGGATAACTTTAAATAAAAAACCGAAAACAGTCAAGAAACTATATACGATAACATTTTGTAGATATGTTATTCTGAGAGTACGCCATAAAATAAAAAATATATTCAGACCAAAAAAAAACTGCTTTTCTTTACTGGAAACCTCCAAAAAATGGACCCGTTTTGACTTTCGGTTTTTCATGTACATAATTTTTTTATATATGGTACCTATACATAAATATCAGAGAGAGTTGCATGCCGTATCGCTATTTGTCATCCGCTATGTTATATTTCGTCGATGACATGACGTGTCTACATTATAAGAGTCTATCGATTTTATACGATTCGTACAGGCATCTAAATCAAACATTATAAAAAAACTTACGGTCAAAAGTTTCAGTCAGTTCGACCAATTTTTTTCTCCTTGTGTACATTTCAGGGCGGGTTACCGTTCATCCCTCACATCGGCTAACAACGGAGTTTTTGGTTTAACCCCACGGCCATCGATTACTATGATGACTTGGTCGCGAAACTGTTACATTTATCATCAACGAGAGGATTTTGATTTTACAGCGATAGGTAGGTTAATAGGTACTAGGTAGGTACTTTAATTTCCGTGTACCAGTAAACGATTTGTTTTCAATACGTCCAATACGATTAGAATTTAAATATTTTGTACTTATCTATTCTAAAAGCCCAAAGTCCAAACTAAAATGACTTTAATAAAAAAAGTTTTTTCGTTCTATAAATTATACTACAAAAATCATGTTTTTCATGTGTTGTAAATTGTTTATAAAATGCTTATTGTAAAAATGTTTACAAATTATATGTTTTCGAAAAAAAATTATTTCTATATACCTATATATTTTTTGTCAGCATTTTATAGTAGGCAACTATACTTAAAATTCAACTACCTCTAGTTGACGCAAACGGCTAAAAGGCTTAAAATAGAAAAAAACTAATAATACTACTTGTAAACATAAGCATATTTAGTTTTTGCTAGACTTGATATTATTGTACCCTCAATAAATTAAAAAAAGAGCTAATAAATTAGTTGTAAAATACTCGAATGATCTAGAAAGCGAATTAGGTAAAGAATGGATTATTCATTTTAAACCCTTTATGGTAGAATTGAAATCAGAAAATCTAAATAGAATCAACAGCAACATTTTTAAGAGAAAAGAAAACGATTTAAGAATTCTCCCATTAAATGCAAAAATCCGGCAGTATTTAAAAAAAAAAAAACTAAAAAGTAAAGAATTATTTAAGCAATTCTATTGCAGGTGAGTTTAGCATGTTTAAAAGCAAGTTCAGAATTTACCACAATGGACGTATGACCCTTAACAGTAATATATAAAATCAATTAAATGATAAACCGCGTCGTTTGGTTTTTGATCACAATTTTTAAAAAATTATATATTTTTTTTTAAAGAACAGACGTCTAAAGGCATTAACACATTTGCTTGATTATTAGGTTTGGGATTGACAAAATATCAAAATGTACGATGCAATTTTGAAATCTCGAAAAATAATTTTAATAAAAAATGCCTAAATAGAAATCCAATACAAACGAAATTTGCTTAAAAACCAATAGAAAACATGAAAATTGACGAAGTTTTATTTTAAGCGCTATTTTTAAGGGGCAAAGGATAGGCAATATTTGACAAATATTGATATAATAGCCGTTTTTCATATGCCTACTAATTTCAAGGTGAACACATATTACAATTTTCTAATAATAATACTTATAAAGTTATTTTTCTCCGAGTTATGACGGAAGTTTGATAAAAAATGATTATCGTAGAAGTCATTTTCTGGCGTATCTACTGGACGAATTTCAATTTTTTTTTTTTTTTTATGCGAAGCTTACTATTTTTTCTACGGGGGCTAAAGGCCGATTTTTGATTTAGCGACTAAAAAAGTAGTTAGATGTATTAGAAAAACTATAAAAAAGTAAAAATAAAAATGTTTATAACTAATTTTTGAAAACAAAAATAAAAAAATCAGCCTTTTAGCCTCCATAGAGAAGATGTTAAACTATAAAACAAACAAAAAAGTATTGAAATCGGTTCGGTAGACACTTCGAAAAATGACTCCGCGTTTTAGTCTTTATTTGTAAGAAAATTGACGCTTTCCGTTCCCCTTAATGACATTTTTTACATAACGTTTTCAAAAAATATTTGTATTACAGATACGTACATATCTACGAATTGTATATAAAATAAGCGTAAATACAATTTTATAAGAAGTCTATAATAGCACAACAGTGGTTTTTGCAGTCCCACCCCTTTTAAATGTATACTCAAAAATAATAAGCACTGCATGTGGCATGATGCATTAAACCTTAATTTTTAACTAAACAAAATAAATAAATATTGTGTTGAATTGTGTAATGAAGTACATTCTAACATGTTAATTGCATAACTCAATTGTATTATAATATTTGTATTGATAACGATATTGAAAGGGTTGGGCATTAAGTAATAATAATTAATGATACTTCATGATATTACAAACATTAATTAATTGGGTTGTACGAGTCGGACATTTCGTGCAACTCACTTACCAGCTGCTACTACTTTATCAGAAGTAGACAATCTCGTTTAACGTTATGCAGGTACATTGACCCTTGAAATACATTTTAATTATCCGACAATAAGCCCCATTTTGTATTACATAAAACATACAAAAAATATATTATTAAAAAATTACATCTAATTTAATAAAACCGCTTTTTTTTTTACTTATAGGTAAAATTATTTCTGCCCTATTTGAATGTTGCTAACAAGGACCAGATTACTGATAAAGCCATTTTAATTGACTGCGAACGCTCATGATACTTTCCAAGATGAAAATGTTAAACTGGCATACAAAGACCTATGAGTGATTTTACTCTGTAAATTTGATTACGTACCTTGAGAATTACCTGCCTAAAATTTAGTATTCCTTGTATAAAAAACTATAAAATAGTAATGCAATTAGTAAACTACTATTATTATACTAGTAAAATACTAGTATTTAATTTTGGATTCTTAATGCCAAAATGTATGTATTAATTTAAATGAACAAATTATACATTGTCAATAATGTTTATTAGACATCATAATAAAATAAATAAATGTATTGTTTTGCACGATAACATACGTCTCACTCTGTGGTTTATACTTGCATAACTATCGTAAAAACTCCAACTTTTTTTTTTAAAGGAATAAGTTTCATTGATAGTTTATTAATTCATTTAAAACATAAAATGAACAAATCTGTCAATATTTAAATAACATAATTTAATATTATTAAAAAAAAAAAAATTGAATACATGTTTATTAATTAGTAAAAATAATGTTTTATTATTTTAACTGCTCTAACAATTTATTGATAACAAATTTAAGATTTTCGGCAAGTTTTTGAGCTGTTTGATCTTCATCCAATTCTGGTACATGAATGAAAATTGTTCGATCTTTATTGATAGATAATGATTTAAAGTAAATGTATTCACACAAATACCTGAATAATCAATTATATATTTTACCAAAATATAACTTAATTTTCAGCTTTAATATTACCTTCCCGCATTTTGAGAAATACATAAATCATTTTCTTTAAAAAAGTCTATGCTTAGACCCGTCTCGATTTTTGTATCAACGACACATGTATTTTCTGGACAAATACCATTGATATCTTCATTGCAATAATTGTGACCATTTGCAACAGTTTCAATTGTAAGTGCTTTAGCGTAGTGAGAGACACCGAGGTGGACCATAAGCTATAAAAACCAATTCACACTAAAAGAAAGTTAAAAAAGACTGTACAAATTAATAGTTTGTGTAAAAAATGTAACATAATGTATTTTGAATGATATAACCAAGTATACAACTTAGTACTTACTATCGGATTATAATCAGCCCATAACTTTGGAACAATCACATCCACATCATTATAGGACACCGGAATTTCGACAGTGACTAAATTAATGTTCAGTTCTTTATCAATGCCGGTTTCAGGTAAAACTTTAGCTATTTCCCAGCTTGCATTCACCGTGTATTGACGAAACAGTCCAAAACCAGTAACGATCACAGTTTTTGGTGACATTATTATTTGTTATTTTTGCCAAAAAAACTAATCGCAGTGCTTGAGAAAAAAATAATAACTGATCGTTGATAGTAGTAGGCCTAAGTTTTTATTAAAACCTGTTTAGTATACTATACACATCATTAAAACTAAAAAAAACTAGATACACAAATTATAGTTATCTATAGTCCGTGGCCTAATTTAGCAATAATAAACTCAACACGACTTTTCATAGATAACAAGCACTTCACTATGTAAAATATTGTAATTATAATTTAATCTAAATTTGTATATCTAGGTATAAACAAAAGAGTAAAGTCTTTAAAGCTGTAGATTGTAGAAATTTTACTGTTTTGAAATCGTGTTATGGTTTTAGAAGTTATCATCATTGATAAGAAGGATTGATAACAACGTCATATCTAGGACAATATAAATAGTAAAAATTAAAATTAAAAATCTATTATTAAATATGTAAAATTGTATTACATAAATTATTAATATTCTCAACAGTAATAATATTTTATATTTTTATGTTTATTATAATTTCGCCCACATTTCCAAGGAGGTTTCATAACAGCTATATAGGTATCCCGAGCCAGATGGTAAATTATCCTAGATTTCTGAGACCCAAGACTGGAAGAAACTTCAACCATTGTTACCTATACATTTTTAAACTATAATTTCAAATATAAAACTATATTATTGTAAATATAATAATTATATTAGGAGTATAATTTTATTTTATCGTATATAATTTATTTGTTTATCCATAGAGTTGCTATATTTAAGCCAACTTTGTGTATGAATTTTCACTGTACTAAAGAGTTATAAGCGATAAGCCCACGTATGAATTAATAGTTTGAAAATAAATTAAGTTACATATTACTTTAAGGGAAAAACCTAATCGGCTTGCTATTAATACGTAGTATATTATGAAATATAATAGCTTATTCTGTGAACTTGGATGTGTACAATGTACATTGACCCTTGTACATTATTCTTAAACATTATCGATATTTTAAGATTAATTGTATTTTGCTCCAATCTGAATTTCAATCCGCTAATAACTTCATGGCAAATCCTATTTTAAACCAAAGTGATGGTGTTCATCATATTTTTGGCACATTTTTATAATCTTACAGTTTTGTGCTGAGGTTTCGCTCTCATTGCGAAGTCCATCTTCGGAGCGATAGTCACCGTTCCGCTATCGTGACTAATGACTATACCGTACTGGCTCGCATGTTTCCACCGCATTTATGCGTTCGTAGTGGACGATGCGACCAGGATGCTTTCAAGAACTCGGGACACAAAAATAGCGGTAAGAAACAATTAAGCCAGTCAGAGTCAGTGCAGTCGCCAGTCGCCTATCGCGACAACGGAACGGTGACTATCGCTCTGAAGATGGACTCTGTGCTATGAGAGCGAAACGCCAACATAAAACTGAAGACATGAGTATATTATCGGAAAATTATCTTCATAAAGTATAAAATTACGTAAGATTATAAGAATGGGCCAAGAATCTCGCGAGCGGTTTTTTTAGTAATATATGAACCGTTTACCGGTCAAAACTTTTGCCTCCCTCTTTTTAAAACGAAACAACACAACTGATATTAAGTGTTATTCTTATGCACTTTTTTTTAAAACAATTTTCAATAGTTTAATAGGTAACCGGTACACGTTGGCGGTTTTATTATAATATTAACTGTTCATTTGCCATGGCCATTGTTAATGTACCCATTACAGTTACGTTTGTTGCTTAATAATTAATGGGATCACGTCCCAATTTGGCTCAAGCACACGAGAGTCACAATTAGTAACGTTATACTCGTGTACTTTAGTGTCCTCTCCTTTCGTGTAAATAGCATCTCCAACAAAAACCTAGTAGTGAAAAAAGGCTAAGTTCCAATACAATATCTTTATTATATTTATATTATGTTGTATAGCACAATAGTATCGGTGTTAACACGGTCAAGGCCAACTCCGTCTAGATAAATATAGGTCGTTGGAGTTAATAATTCTGTGTTTTTATTGTGCTTGATCCATGTATTGTACTCTGTCCTTGGACTTAGCCCGTTTTACGTGAAATACCTAGTGTCGAGTTATATGGTGGACGGACTAGTTTGTGAAAACTAGTCTTCTTCTATGAACACAATAATATAGAACCGTTTACACCGAATTCGACATTAAACCCGGTTGTTTCTCTGGTTTTCGTAATGATGAACGACTACGATTTTACTATAACGTCTAAGTGTATAGTTAATCAGCCAACATCTGTTTATTTAAGGGGAACTTGTGTAAAATAATAATAATGCGAGCCAGGAAAATTTGTTTTTATAGTATATTATACCTAAATGTAGATTGTAGTACAATTATAAATAAAAATCAACGCTATAAAGAATAAACACACATAATGAAATTGTTGCCTTTATGATGAACTTTGTTTTATCCTTTCTATTTTCCTATTTATTTCCAAAGAAACTCGTCGAACACTCGAATATGTAACTTTTAAACATAAGATTAATATTTGTTGTATCCTTTCATTTCATTTTCATCGTCCTCCGAATTAATACGGTTTATGATAACGAATCATATAAAACTGATATTCAGTAACCGTATGTGATTTGTGATGCTTTTAATTGTTTTGATATAAAGGATTTTTTTAGTTAACAAATAAAATGTATTAAATAACATTAAAATGTAAAAAATTAAAATTAAAAAAAAATAATTTTCTAAAATAATTTAGAGGTTGCGGTTATATTGTTTTTCATAGTAGTTTAATGTTTTTTTTATCAATTAAAAAAAACATTGATATTATTAACGGAGGTAAACGCATCGTGCTTGGAACGTACAAAAACAAAAGGACAGAATATGTATAGCATGTTTTTTGTGTTGAGGTTTAGACTTTGGACCCTTTATCATTATGTCAAGATCGCTGCCATAAGCCTTTGTCATTATTTATGGTTTCAGCAAAATATTTGCTTTAAATATAACTCACAATTAATAATCTATTAAGATATTATGATTACCTATACAAAGCCCGAAGTTTAGGTCAGGTAGAGACCTAAAAATGTATATTTATTTTACCTACAATGGACGTTATCTATCTAACGTTTCAAACTTTAGAATTTTTCGCGTTTTTATTTAAAATACCATCTCTCTAGGTATTTTTATTGTTAGTATATTATATATTCTTTCTAATCATGTGTACTGATTATATTGTAATTAGCTGTTTTATTAATTAAATATTATTAGGTATTTTTTTTCAACCATACAACGTGGTATAGCATTTTTAAATTTGTAACTTTTTCATAGTTTCCAAATAAAAATACTGATGGACGAGTGCTTAAATTTATCTGAATTTAATACTTGGGGCTAGATATTTATTAATAGTGTATTTGTTCAATACATTTCTATAGTAGATTACACCAAGAAGAAGGATATGATTAAATGGGTATCTCTGGACAAGACTGAATGACGTTTTGACATAGACGACGTTCATACTATGGTTGTTGTAATAAATGGTTTCTAAAAATATTATTTTTGTATTATGGACTCCATATAATATCGACATTGCAGGGTTTTGAACGAAAATGAATTGCTGGCAGAAGGTAAGGTGCTCGAGGGTGTGTAGGATACAATCTGTCGCTGCAGCGTTTTTCATTCGATTGAGTTGAAACACTCTAATGCGGTGAATTGCCAAGTGAGTGTTTTTTTCTTCCTGATTGAATTGAAAATACCTTGATGGAATTTATAAAACGGAAAATACTACAGGATGATCCATTTAACGTAAGAGATTCGTTCTCTTAAAATAATTGCAATTTTGTAGTTTTTGGACAAATATATTTTGTTTATGTTATTTTACAATATTATAAAGTGTCTACCAAATATTTACCTACATTATTTAAATATTTTCCATAGCTCTATTAACTTGTAGAACTATTTTTTTTAAATATGATATTTATTATTTTTGTTGAATAATCTGATTGGTACTGCCATTTGACAGTGACCAATAACCAGTTTAGCTATTAAAATTTAATATTTAGGACGGCAGGTAAACAATGCATTATTATTATTTTTGGTTTTGATACGTTAACGTATGTAATTATCTGTATGCTGTATTATTATTTATTAGTAGGTATATACATATACTAAGACCCCTCCTAATATTTATAAAGCCGTCAGAAAAATATTGACAATAGTAGGCAAATCATCAAATCTTTATTCTTAACAAAGATTGTTGGAAATTAAAAATTCTAACGCTAAAATTTGTTGTCTACATATTTATTGAATTAAAAATAGGTGTTTCCTTTGAAAAAATGTCATCAATAACTTTTTTAACGAATGTATGATGTAAAAAAAACAATTTATTGTGTTAAAAAATACTGTATAATATGTAAATAAGATTTTTCCAAGAAAATTAGTTTTTTGTGAATGGCCGGCTTAATAATGTCGACTGGCTATAATTATTATTATTTTCATAAACATAATATATTATGAAGTGGTAAAATAATAATTTTAAAATGAAAATAGATGGGAAAAAATTATTAAAATAGTTATTATTGCTGTGGAAGGGAGTATATAATAAAGTATATAGTATAAATTAGATATACTCATTTAATACATGAGTACTCATTTTACTTCTTTAATTAAATATACTCATTAATACATGAGTATATTTAATGCGTTATAGAATACTGAACACCTGTCACCACATCATTTAGAGCTAAACTAAAAGACAATATAATTGTTGTATAATGATTAGGTAATATCAGTGTTACATAACATTAGAAGAAAACGTGCTGTATGGCAAACGTACGTGATCGTTTTCTTAATTATATTAAAGTGCAAAATATAAAATATGATGATTATAATTTAAGTTATAGCTATGTAATCAAATCCGGATCAATTGATAGACAACATAGTTTAATGTCTAGGCACAGCTATGCCTAGGGCTTAGCCGCTTAGGGGAAATTACGGCCCCTACTAGGGTGTCTATTAGTCACCGACTATAGCGTTAGAAATAGGGCCCGTGGCCTATGGCCTCGGCCGAAGAAAAAAAGAAAATACATCTGTTATATTTTTAAATGTTTGACCTAACTTAAGGCGTGTTACAATAATGATTGTTTCTAATGTTTTTTTTTCATTATGATTTATGATGTTTTAAAAGTCCTATATTTTGTCGCAGTATATATATATTTTTTTTATATAAGAAATATTCTTTTATAAAAAGGGAAATATAAATTAATTGTGTTGAACGTGCTAAAATTAATATTAATAGTAATGTTTGGAAAATGTGTCTCATGTGCCTGGCCCTACGAATGGCTTCTTAAATAAGTAGGTATAGAGTAATAAAATATAGCTTAAAAACACAAACGTATAAGAAACAACACATCTCGTATAAATGTAATACTATTTTTTTTCGTTTATATTGATTGAATCTATAAATTTAATCTAATTATAAATATATTATTATTTATGACATACAAGTAAAAAATCTTGAAAATGTTCAATATTAATGAAATTCTTGGGTAAGAAATTGCAACAAAAAAAACTCAAGTGATCTATATAGGTACTTTTCAATTTTAGAATAACGAATAAAATAATTATTTTTATTTTATGTCCGAGTACCGACCATTAACTCATGAAACATTTATCGTCACTCAGTAATTGTAATTTATAACTTTTACTTTAAAAATAAATCCCACATAACTTTTGCCTAATTATTTGAAAGCTAAAATTATAAATAAATCGAAATACTAGTTAATGACTTTGTGACAAGATGAATTTTGCTCTTTGGTACTTTGATTGCGTGAGACTGTGTGAAGTCTGTAAAACTGTTTTTTTTAAGAAAAAGGTTTTTTTAGCCTTGAGTGGTAGTGCAATCGTAAAGGCCAAGGGATAGCTGTTGGTAGCAGATGAAAAATTACTTTTTGAAATACTATTACCAACGACAATGGGTTCTTTATAAAATGTTACATGCCAAAAAAAGTTTACCGAAAATTCGATCAATGCAACGAGGCCTACACGACCATAGATTAGATTTTATATTATTGTATAAATTGTACATATTCAATGGGAAAAAGAACCACTATAAAAAAGTTTTAGAATAGATACTAAAAACTGTTGTGTTTTAAACTCGAGTTAGATGTTAATTTTTAGTTTTACGGTCAAAAATTAAAATATTTAACGAGGGTTTTTTTTAATTAGTTGCTGAACTCAATTTTTTTTAAGTAACTTCTTCTAGCACTAATAACAGCACTGCAATTTTTGTCGTTGAATAACATTTAGCGTTCTCTCTATGTGTAACACCAATGTCCTTTTTACGTTTGTATGTTACTAGTATTTTAAGTGTACAGTACAGGGTGGTGATTATCTAAGGATAAGACAATATTTTTGGTTTTTAACTTAAACGGTAACGTATATATACATTTAATTGACTTTATAAATTATAAATAATTTCCTTAAAAATTTGACTGGTCGATTAACAGTTTTGGATAATCTAACGCACTCTACTTCCCGTCCTAAATTTTAAACTTCAGTAACTTAAAAAAGAATTATGCAAAACTGGTTATCGACCAGTCAAAGTTTTTAAAGATTTAAGTTTGAAAATATAATTAAATATCTATAAAAGTTAGCATTTAAGTTTTAAACGTTGATAGAGCTCTGGGAAAAAAAATCCAAATTTTAATATTGACCAATATTTTAGTATAATATAACATAAACTAATCTGTCTTTAAAAAAGAAAACATCCAAAATTTGCAAATATTTTAAGCGAAAATTTGTGTCTTACTAGTCACTCTTGTATTTTATGAATCTCTCTGTATACCTACAACCCACTCTACATCGATTCACCTTGCTACATAGTCGTTAAACGGAGAGGTAATGATTTTTTTGGCGTAGTCGACTTTCAGGTAAATGCATGTACCAAATTTTTTGTGGCGTGCGCGTTGTGTAAAACACCTTTTTAATAATTATTTTTTCTTTAAATATTAAATATTTTACTTTTTTATTTGCTACTTGGGCGGTAACATAAAATATTCAAATTTCCGTGTGTGGAACGGATGCGTGTAATTACCGTTTATAATCGGCCACTGTACATTTATTATACAATATACATGAATGAATTGGGTTTTTTTCTTTTTTTTTAGCATCGCGACTGTCGTTAAAATAGTATAATATCATGCTCGCCGTACCCCGTCGCAAACTGTAATATAAATTAGGTCAAAACAAAAGTACAGAGCGTACGACGACGAGAAGCCCTAAAAGCAGCTCTCCTATAAGGTGTAGTGCGAATTTAAATAATCAAAGTATATCTTGACACAACAGAATCACAAAAGGTGTTTGTGTAAGTGCAATGACATAACATTCCGGTACGAACTTATCGATCGAATTTTGCATGCATTTTGATTTCCTGCAGTTCAGTTGTCTTAATTGTTGTTATAAATATAATTTTTTTTAGTCCGTGCGTGCGTTTTAGTGGAAGTTTTACTATTTGTTGCCCCATATTTAAAAATTGAACCTCAAGAGTAAAATATTTGAAATATTGTCGAAACGTGGTAATCGGAGCGTATACTATAATGTACTTGGAAAATCATGTAGGAGATACACCGATAAACATATTAGTAATATTACCAAACTTCCAGGGTCAACCATATGTCGTGACGGTTCAATATTAATTATTAGTCAAGGCATTAAATACTTGTGCGATACGTCATACGTGTATTTTCTATAACGCAGTATACATTTTAACTATAGTATAATCCAAACTCTACCAGTCACATAAAATAAACTGCAAAATCCTTTAAAAAATTCAAACTTTCCCTTGAAGGAAAGACATTGTATCATGGACGTGATTATGATTTATGAACGGCTAATTCTTTCATCAATCAATAAGCTCTTGTAAGTATTGTTATACTATCTAAAATAACATAAACTAGTGTAAAAAAAAGAACCTATAAAACAGCAAATATTTTATGGAAAATGAATGTCTTGTCCTAAATAAATCATTCTTTATACTGTATAGTGTCCCGACTCCAGTAACAATAAACTACCTACGCGTAGTTTTATTAGAATTAAAAAAAAGTTAGAAATCGGTTCCACGACTTTGCAATCTATAGGTAATATAATAACATGGCTTTTACTCGAGGGCTACGCCGACCTTCCAACGGGAGTGTATAGTGATCGACTTTCTGCCAGGGTCATTGCTGCAATCCAATGTGTTGAATATTATAGCGAATGCGGTGTGGATATTGTAGGAAGATATTTCTGACTGTCCCTTTTCGGTTTTCCCCTATGTACGTACGCCAATTACCAGCGATATAGGTTTTTTTTTTATAATGTATTTATATATTATGATACAGTATAGGTACACTACATGTGCAGGTGTTTCTACTATCTTTTTATTCCATCAGTATTGATATCGATATAACACCACGGCAGGGACGGATATTTTGGCACGACAACGACAGACGACTACGGTGGAATAGCCGAGCCCCAGCTAAAACCGCCCTCTCCTGACCTTCTCTGGTGCCAAGTCATAACTACCGATTATACACCCTCCGCTCGAACTTGATTTTTTTTCTTTTTTTATAAATCCGCCTTTTTTGTTTGTTTTGTAAACGCTTTTCGGCTTATTGCCAAACGCCAATAATTACTGACGTTGTACGCCTTAAATTAAACCGTCAAGAAAACACATATAGTGTATACTATATAAATTGGTACACCTGATTATTGCCGCACGTCTAATTATTGTTATCGGAAAAACTGTTTTACTATTCAGGACGTATCACGAATTTTGCCGGAACTCAGATTATACTGTGTGATACACGGCACACCCTGTACGATAATGTCTTAGGCTTGTTGGCGTTCAAAACGCACGTCCCACGAGATTTCTATAATATACACGCACACATTTGATGTAAATTATATTATCTGGCATCCGTTTTGTGCCTTGTTTGAACTATCGATTATCCTGATTTCATTCCAACGTTATTATTATAATTTGTATACAAATAATTCAGTGCACGGACGCGCTGCTATGGTTGTATTAAAAGCTACGAATGGCACCGCGACCACTGCACAGCTTTAACCCGCACCCGGTAAAATATAGGCGAGCATACTTGAGGGCCTCGACAGCAAATGTATAAAAAAAAAATATCGGCGTAAGTTATTTAGTATCAGATATTAATCGCCAAGATTAGGTATCATCAAGTCGAGAACATTATCGATTGGAGGTCGACTGGTCCGGAGTGTCTCGTGCTGCTGCATGCAAGGTATCAGACTCCAAAAATCGATTACGGCTTAAATATAGATTTAAACCGCTAATTCTTTACGATGTGTGATGTGCTCATTAAATCGTATTCAGCTGCCCGACGATAAATCTATTGTTTTGTACCTATAATTCCGGCGGTCTGCGGATAAGTCGTCCCGCGTATCTAACCAACCTACCCTACAAAGTATTTGACCTAGGACTGAATTATATGTATTTCAAAAAATAATAACACATTTGGCATTTTACACAGAACAAATTAATATTGCCGTTGGCCGTGAGTGTGTAATATGTCTGACCGGCGAAACTCGTGTTTTACGGGGTTGTTTTTGAATTATTTTACAATTTTATCAATAATATAATGAATAACCGTAACTCGGACAGGCTGTGCGTGCATGAGATTTATAGTAAACCCTGCGCGTAGAACGTACATTGCCGTAACGAGCAGCCGTGCGGCGACACATATACATAAACGGACTTGGGGTCGGCCGCATATAGTGTCGGCAACCGCCAGGCCCGTATGTCCACCGCTTTGGACGCGCACGCTCTCCCACCTTTTGCCGTCTAGGCAAAAGTCCCTCGTACGGGGGACATGACCTACGGTTCAGCCGGTGATATCCACGCCTTACGGTATGGGTAAGGAAAATGAAAAGACCCATTTTGTAAATCGTGTACGAAAAATTGTTCTTTTAGCAAATATTTCACGTACAAGTTATTAAATCGTTAATTAATAAATAGTATTTTTTAGAGGCGGTTGTACGGCGGTCATCGGTCAAGGCGTGGGCGTACAGCGGAAGAAAGTGCAAGGGAATTTCGCGGCGGCCGCCGTGGCACCACTGAGTTGCCCGCTGATGGTGCGGGGGCAAATCAATACGACTAGGCGCCGCCGCTGCCGTAGAGCGTGCCGTCTCGGTCGCACCAACGCCGCGCCGACGACCGAGCCCGCGTAGTCGCTCTCTCTCCGTCTCTGCCGCATCTGTGCGCGCCGTCTCTTCTCTCCCTTCGAGTTATTTTCTGTCGGCCCTGTTCCGCGGGGCACAAGGAAATTTTTAGCCTATTTTACCTCTCCTACACACCGACACCGTCTTACACACGCGTACGCACCATCTAACCCGTACACGCTCACACGCGCTAGCGCCCGCGATAATATTATTAGTATCGTGTCTGGCGGAAAAAAATATTATAAAAAACACGGCAGTATTGCGCGCGAGCGTCCGTTTATTATTTTTTTTTAATGTGTTTGTTAATCGTTGACGCCTTTGTTTTAAACGTGTGTTGTATTGTTATCTAGTTGTAAAATTTGTGTTTCTATATCACCGCCGTCCGTTGTGCGCAAACCGCTGGCGGTCGAATTGTTCTTGTTCACCCGGACTTTGTGCAATCACCGCGGCCCCACGACGGCTACGGACCAGGCGGCCACCACCAAAGTCCAACACCATTAGCTCGGCGACGACCAACAAGGCGGCCACCACAACGGCGACCAGGGCCAGCGGCATCGCGCCATCCTCGTACCTATAACAGACATCGTACGCCACAGACGGACGCCATGATTTGCATGAACACGCACGGCGTCATCGCCCTGTTGTGCGCCCTATTCGCTTTTGTACCCTCGCTGATTGTGGGTGAGTCATAATCCGTTACTGGGCGTCGACCAGTTTGATTTTCATCTAGAAATCCCCCTCGGCTATGTTTAGGGTCAAAAAATAGAATCAGGGGGTTTACCTCCCCCCCCCCGAGTGCGCGACCATATCAGTTTTGTGGGTTTCCGATGTACAGAGCTATTGGTCACCGACTGTGCCGGGATTACGGGTTGTTTTCCCTTTTGTAATTTTGGTCTTTTAGGAAAGATTTTAATTCCTTAAATAAATATAAAAGATCAGTCATAGTATATCGACATAAGTATCTGATTTTGTTCAATAAGTACCTAGTTGATTGTACTTAGCAGTGAGACTTTCACAATTATTATTTTCACAAGAAAAAGAATTGCTTCAAGTGTTTTGGATAAAAGTGTTCGTAAGAACTGCGTTAAAAGCTTGCACGTTTTATGTCAATACAACTGCCTACTTTAAAAATCAATTAAACTAAAACAATATTTCTCTCGGTCCAAGTCTCCTATTACTAGAAGTTAACACTTACCATGCCCAACCATTTGGCTTGTTTGTTACTTACATATTTTTTGTTAGACATTTTGTTTCTCACATTATTTTCAGGGCCGTTTAACTAAAACTATGTTTACAAGCAGTCCTAAATACTTCAATCTACAATTCTAATTATTTTGAGATTTAATAAAAAAAATTAACTTACCGTAGTATTATATATATATATATTAATTACTAATTAATTATAAACTAATTCACAGTTTTTTATTTTTATAGCTATTTATGTATATAGGCATTATTATGGAGTAGTGATATTTTCCTATACTTAATATACAAGTAAAATAAGGTGTAAACTTCATCCTAAAATCAATATTATATTAAACTGTGCAGCTGCCATCTTGAGCCGTTACATTGATAATTTAATTTTGATTTCATGTAGGGTTTATATTTATCTAATTGGTATTAAAACATGTAAAATGCAAATCTTTTTTTTTATTACCACAACTATCGTTTGTATTAATTTATTTTTTGTTATTGATGATTGCCATTAATTGATTTACATACCCAATTTCGGTAAAGGGTTGTTAAACATAATATTTAAATAATTATATGCCTATTTTTATAAGAACCCGTAATAAGACCGTTTAGTCTAGTTTTTTCAAGCCATAAAGTTTAAAATCACTTGTATTAAAACAAAAAAAGTGATAATATAGTAATTGGTGTTATTTATCTTATGGTGTTTGGTACAGTTTAAAGTATTAGCATAATTAATTTTTTCATCAAAAATTGCTTATTCTGCTTCTGCCCCATAATAAATAGTTTGGAGTACTACCAGTAACTGGAAGCTTTAAATGGACATTTTTAGTTTTTACTATTAACAACATGATGTACGTCTATTTGTATATTATTATTAGTAGAGCTGAGTGGATAGTGAATATAATTTAACATTAGTATTTTATTATTATTTACCAATAGTTGATTTTAAGTTTTCTATTACAAATAATTTAAACCGACATCAGTTTTCTTAACAGATAATTAATAAGGATATTTTAAAGAAAAAAAATTATATTGGCTCATCTCAATTACTAACAGTAGTAGTCTATTTACAATGTCTTATATTTTAGCTACATTTTGTTGTGTAATTCTTTCAAACAACAATTATATCTTAATTTAAATTAATTGTTTGGCTTAAAATCATTCTAAAAATTCATAATACAATTCAGGTTTATTTTGAAGCCAAAAATAAAATTAGGTAATTTTTTTACTAAAATATTAAAATCATGTTTACAGTTTTTGTTTTCTTTATAACTTCATATTGATGGTTATAAATTGTAATTGAATATTTGTGTTTTTTTTAAATGCCATAATTTATGCGATTCATTTTCTTTTTTTTTAATAAAGTCAATTTGCCGTCAATAAATTATTCAAAACTATTTATTTAATTTATCATTTAAGTGGCGTTTACCTATGCCACTTGACTTAACGACAATGCCTATAGTAAAAAAATGGGTATTTTTTTAAATTTTATAACTGTTTATTTTTAATGTGTTGTTCGTGACTGGGATACAAAAATAATTTTGTTTGTTTTGGAAATAAAATTGGATTATGTAGCCGACGAGCCGAGTTACGAGGGTAACAATACTGTAAAAGAAGGCAGCCCGTTTAAGATAACTTGTCGTGTGTCAGCGTTTCAATTTATAAAATGGCAAAAGGATAGCCATAACCTATCTGACGAACACTACAATATCAGCACCGACAAAACCGGCGACAATATGTTTGTGTCCACAATTTCGGTCAATTCTGCTGCCTCGTTACACTCGGGCTCGTATCGATGCACAACACAGTACAACAATGTTCATGTATTGGAAGTGGTTACCGGTACGTGCCGGCCTATGATGTGCTTTTTAAAAAAAAATGCCATGTGTCCGGACCGGATTGCCTAGCTTCATTTTTGGCTCGCGTGTATATCTATAAATATTAACAATTGCGACTAGACGCACTTTCCAGTACATTACGACATTTCATTTATAGAGTAGATTTATCATTATGTTAGGTATTTGTTTAACCCATTAAAGTTTTTTTTTGTTTGTACATTTTTTGTGGTATAGATTTTGCATTTAAATATAATATGTATAATACATTAATATACCGTACGGCCATTTTTTTTTTTTTTTTTTTAATTACTAATGCATACGATATGTAATTTGTATTTGTCAATAATCCATTTTTATCAATGACCTTTATATGATATGTTTGTGTTAGAAATTACTCACTTATGAATCTAACAGCTCACATTTAGATTTATATATCAACTCTACTCTGTAGCCTTAACCTTATTCATTTTTTATCGTGTTTTAGGAGCTGATGTGATTATAAGAGCAAACTACGACTTTGGAGATGCTTATAAAGCCGGAGAATACAAACAACCACTTACCTTGTCGTGTACGTACGAAGGACCACAAGACTCTAAGTATTATTGGAAATGGTAAGTATATCAATACGAGTTCTCCCTACCTAAGCTGTATGGAACATCTACAAATTTAACAAATCTTCCACCTGATATTTAATTACAGGTATAAAGGAGACAAGCAGATAGTAACCGATGACGCGGACAACACACACCATGTCACAGTCTCAGGAAATACCGTAGAAATTAAACGTTTCAATGAAAACGATGCCGGCGAGTATACGTGCAAGTTATTCAATTCCGTCAACGGACCTCCTGTTGGCACAAAGCCGTTCAAAGTTGTCTGTGAGTATTGGTCGCTTAATAATCAATTAAATTTGAATATGTCAATCCTTAACAGATTCTGTTGGAAATAGAGGTTTTGTCTTTGCTACCAGCTTTTTAAGTTGTATGAGAAATTGCATAATTAGAGTAATAAAACTAAGTACTTGTATTTCTATTCAAATTCTAAAGTTTTTTTTTTAACTTATACTCTTTTGTTTTTATTCTAGTCACAAAAAATAATTACTCGTTTCTTAGAATTAATTGCATTTAAACATACAGTGGTATTATTATATATTATTTCGGTTGCTGTTTTATGATTTATTATTTGGAAAAATTCAGGGTCTTGTTATTTTTCTCTACTTATTGGACAAAACCCCAAACCCTTAAAACTTCTATAGATTGATGTACGTTATATTTCTTAAATTTTCACAGTAAAACCCTACTACAAACTGCCAAAAACAGCTACGTTCATCGAAGGAGAAAAAGTGGAATTAGAATGCATAGTGTATGGCGTGCCCACTCCTGATGTTAGTTGGAAATTCGGTAAGTATTAAAATGTTTTTATGAGTTGTCGTTATTATACAGTTAGATAATTCTGACCCGTGTATTTTGATTTTATTTAGAAAACACTACCCTTGTGCCTTCTCCACATGTACAATTTGCTCCGAACAAGAAGAATATAACTAATGGCATTTTGATTTTAAAATCGATTACCATGAACGACAGAGGTAATTTCTATTGCGGCGGAAAAAGTTCTGTCATTGCCGAACACGTGAGCTCTTCAGCGTTGTATGTACGCATTAAAGGTTGGTAATGGCGATTAGAAACTGTTAGGCTCTTATTATATTATAGTCAACTTGCTTTATAATTTTGTATATTAAATTTGCTATTCCAGATAGGATGGCTGCGTTATGGCCTTTCTTAGGAATATGCGCTGAAGTCATCATACTGTGTTTGATCATATTTATTTACGAAAAGAAACGTAACAAGGCTGAATTCGAGGAAAGTGACACCGATCAAGGACCAGAGACGTAAGTAAGATAGATTTCATAATTTGTATAAATTATGACGTGCAACACATATTTTGTTTTATTCTTTTTCTTCAAAGTTTTATGTTTTTATTGTGTACCTATTTAAAAAGAATTGTTAAATTTTGTTTGTTATGTTTGATCAAATAAAGTACATGAACTTTATTGTTGGAGACAAATAAGATATGAGTTACGTTACATAATAGTGCATCCTCACACATTTACATTTATATTATTACGGTTTAGATTGTTTACTATGGATAGATACATTTGATAATAAATGTTTAACTCGTGCAACAGCCTTATAATTAACAAAAGCGTGTTCTAATCAAAATAAAGGCCTTTGTAAAAATAAATACCTTTTAAAAGGTAATAAGCTAATAAAGAGAGTGTGAGATGTTTGACATTTGCACTTGTCAACACATTAAAATAACCATTGTAATATGAGACCGAATTTTTATGTTTTTACATATTTTTATGGAGGTCGTGCAGCATGTTTTTTGGTTAAGGTTCCTTGACATTCCATTTTTAAACTTAACTTCACTGTTACTTCCAGAACATTTATCATATTTTAAACAAAACTTAAAAGTGATTTTTTAAAATTTTAATTTAAAAAAATTGTAAAAGGAAATTTTTTTGTGACCGTTTTCGATAACAGTGGTGTTGTAGTTCGATTAATTTTTTTCTTCCATGACAATCTTCCTTGCTCATTGATCAAATATGTTAATAAATTTAGTCAATACATTTTTTTTAAAGTTTTATTTTTAAATAAAGTCAATATTTTTTGTACAAGCATATTTTAGAGTAAAAAAAAATATTTCTCTAAATTTGTTTACTACATAAAACTGTCATGCTTAAAACTTTATTATTATATAAAATAAAAATTTGATTTCTACATACATAGTATGACTAATTGTCCCACTGCAGTATCCTATTATATTTTTTTAAATCTATCTATCATAGTAAATGATTTAGGATGTTTGGAAACCGTGTAAATGGTAATTTGTAATTTCGTATGACTATTTTAGAAACAATGCAACAGATCACAGTGGCAGCGGTGGTGACGTAAGACACCGGAAATAACTCAACAATTTAACGAATAATGCCAGATATTACATAAATGGTCAAAAGTAAGGAATACAGTTATAGGTACAGTTATGTATTAGGTTTGCCAGACCAATTTTTGTTTACATTTTTAGGAAATTTATTATCGTCATAGTTGTTAAAAACTAAATTTAAAAAAAAGTAACAGCTGTTTTTATTGTTTCAGCCATTACGAAACAATATAACAAAAAATATACTTACTGCTTAATACATTTTTTATTCCAAGTATATAAAAAAATTAATTAAAAGACGTTCCTACACGATGCTAGGAAAAATTTTGTTCAATTACAGTAATATTGTAGCTGTATCGTGTTAAAATATTTAGGCGACATATTGTGCATAAAAATTGTTCTCCATGTCGTATTGTTTTTTTTTTTTTTTTTCATTTAATTAATTAATTTAACAATTTTTTTTTCTCATTACCAAATGTAATATGTATTTTTATTTTACATAAAATACTGGTATGCATCATCCATGTCTGTTAATCTATATAATATGTAGTAAGTTGTTAACGCATATTAAGCGTTCCCCGCCTAACTTGTTCAAGTTTGAGTTCTTTGTGCTTTTAACAAAGTAAAAAAAATAATATTGCATTTAATGCTCAATAAGTGTTTTATTCCTCAGATTAATAATATATTATTAAAGTATTTATATATTCTATTGTTTAACTAAAATTAAACTACTTTAATTCTGGTCATAGATTTATTTTCTAGGTGTAGCTTATGAATCAATAAGCGAAAAATGTTATCTGAAATTTTTTTTTTATACATTTAACGTAAGTTACTTACGCATAGCTTAGTATATTTTATAGAATATTTATTACACGCTGAATTTCATTTCTAACAATTTCACTTTTTAATCTTATTTTCAATAATAAATTACTTCCTCTGCCCCAGCAATATATATTTATTATTATTATTCTACTTATAAGTGGTTTTATTTTATTTATAATATTAGAATATTATTAAGGGTGCTTGTCAAGTTGATGATTGCCCAGTTGGAAATTTATTATTAGCAATAAGCATAAATTAAGTTATATAAAACGTATAACATTACGGTATTATACAAATTATGTTTATTATTATGTAATATATATATATATAATGTCACTGCTTGTTGTTAAATTGTTGTAATGAAATTAAGAAAATTTCTTCAAAAAAAAAATTATTTTAAGCCTAATTTAGATGTAGTGACATTACAATCAATTTTTTGACACCAGAAGATGATTAAAAATGAAAAAAAAAATTATATTTCATTTCTTATTGTGGTGTATGAAACCATCTTATTTGTTACTCGTAAGATCTTTTTATTATTTATTCAGTGTTATATTTGTAGAATTTGTTAATATTAAAAAAAAAAATTGTTAGCATTAAACCATTAATTTCTTAGTTAAATCAATTGATTATTTTCACCCATCTAATATTGTTGTATTATTGGTAATTATTTTATAAAGACAATGTTCTTTACATAGATTATACCATTATGGCAGACAACATAGCTAGTTTTCGTGCATTTCATACGTAAACTTAGTCACAAACTATATTGTTTTCATTGTCGTCTGGCGAAAGTAACACTGCCAATGGCTTTGATTTCTAGTGAACTGCAGCATCGCGTAATAATACATTTGTCAACTGCTAATAACTAATTTTCTTGTTAATATAATTATAAAATAAACAAGTTATGTTAAAAACTGTTAATTATCATTACCATTTATAGTTATGATACTACTAATTTTTATTTAAAATACTCTTTTACTGATTGGTACTTATTCATGGATCGACATGGTGTACTCGTCAGCGTTTTCTCAACAATAACTGTAATTGAAAACAAACCAAAGTCTGAGGGGAAATTATGAATGATTAGGGTGTGGCTTTTAAAACGTCCAAACTATATGATAATATATACCAACAGAGAGCATTAGTGACGGGAATTTTTCAGAATAATATTATTTGTTTTTACTAAAACTTATTACATTACATTTAGATAAAGCTGTTTTACATACATCAATAATTTTTTTTGAAAAATAAATTAAGTAACTTAGCTTGATTACTCAGCGATACGCTTAACTCCATCGCGGCATCATACTCGAGGCTCAGCTTGTATACTTGACTGTTGCCCAAAAATGAGTGCCCATGCTTCAGACAACATGTTTGTTTCCAAGAAAACCGTTGTTGTTTTCAACGTACACTTGAATACATAAGAACGTTAAACGTACGTGAGTAAATACTATTAAACCGGAACAGCTGCTAAAAAATTAATAAAATATAGCCAGCGCTGTAGGGTTGGGGCACAGTGGTGACAGGGGCGTAACCAGGATTTTACTTCCTTCTACATACGTACATAATATGCCACTGTAATTTATAATTATAAAATTTCATACCATACATTAGAAGTTCTACAAGTTGGGTACAAACTAAAATTAATTTAATGGCGGTTGTCTCATTCCACCGAGGGATGATAATGTCACATTGTGGTACAATCTACTTCACAAATGTATAGTCCTAACCGATTAGTTGTTATCAGTGGCATATTGTCCAAAACATTTTATTTAGCATTAAACATGAAATATTATTATTTTTTAATTAAAAGTGGAACAGTTCTCGCCCCCCTCTGTTAAAATGAGGATAATCTGTGAAGTCTGTGCTCGACTAGTTCGTCCTGAGCGCACGCCTATATATATTTAATAAACAAATAAATATGTAAACATATAATTGCACTTCTCCGGTTTCGGTCATGGAAAACGCTACTGATGATATCCAAATAAAAAAATGAAAGCAATCTTTTTTTAAACTATAATCAATAATCATAAGCTATATACAGTATACTTACCTCAGAAGCGCCAACAAAAGCAGTAACCCGGTTTACCATTATAAGTAAATTCATTAAAACAATAAATCCCCACAGAACTATAATGAATATTAACAAATATTATTATAATATATTGTTATAATGAACAAGTATTATAATTCAACACGTTATAAAAAAAACGAGAATGATTTTACAATACAACTAATTTTCGAAAATTGAGAAAAATCCTCAATGAGTTTAAACAATACATTAAACTTACAAATTCCTTACATAATGTTAGTCTAACAATGTTAGAAATTCTCATTTGGATAAACTTTAGGTATTATGGTAGATTGCACATAATTTAATAGTTTTGTATAAACAATATTTTTGCACCAATAACATTTGTGAATTTATGGAACCCATAAAGATTTGTGCAATCCAAAAGTCTATCAATTACACTGTATATTACGATTTTGAATCAAGAACCAAAATAATTTTATTTTACTGAATCCAAATCCAGTCTCAAACTTTTTCAAAAACGTCTAGTTACCTTTTTATATCACTCCCAAAAGGCTAAACTTTAAAAAAAAAATCTCTTTTTTATGGTATATTGTTTAACTATAAAACAAAAATACAATTATTGAAATAGGTTCGGTAGACCCTTCAGAAAGTGACTCCGCGTTTTAGTCTTTATTTGTAAAAAAATTGATGCTTTCCATTCCCCTTAAGGAGGCAAAACAGCTTTTACGGTTAAATACCACCATGTCGTGATATTTTATAAATTAAAATAGCTGATTTAAAAGTCTTATTTAAGATATACACCAATTAATTGTCAATCTAGTCGGGTATATAGTATTATTTATATTATCGAATCGTCTAAATTTGTTTCCAACAGAGGTAAATTGTGGTGTTTGCATTATAAGTATAACCAATGACTAATTTGCTATGTGATAATATTTGCTTACATTTTGTTGAAACCTTATGGAAAATACACATTAATAAACATTTAAAATAATAAGGATTGGAAAATATGCATCATATTATGCTGAGGAAGAGCAGAATTTTTTAAGCAAATAATAATTTTATAGACGACAAACTTTTATGAGTAGTTTAGTATTCAATTTTTATTATATATTTTAAATGATCATTTTCTTCAAAAATTAATTAAAAAATAACAAATAATACAAGAGTAGACTATTAAGTATTAGATAATTTGTTACTCAATAGTTGGATAACTCAATAAATGTATATAAAAGGAAAATATTGATTATTTATAACTACAAAATAAAGTAGTTAATTAATTATTTAAGCTAATTATACTTTTCTTATTTATAGCCAATGACTCGATTGATGACTACTAAATCTTTATTACAAAATATGTACATAATTCAATCATTAAATATTAATAACTTAATCCATGATTCTCTGATTATTAATTTTTTAGAAACATTCATGATAATTATTGAATGTACAATAATATTATCAAATAGCGCAATATGGTCTAAAATATTGGATATTTTTTACCATTGGTCTTCAACACGTCCAAATTTGTATATTAGAGATGCAGCGAAAATAAAAATATTTTGGAAAAATAACTCTACTCCAACCGTCATGTTAGGCTTGGGCGTACCTAAATACAAGACAGATAAATATGATATAACTTAAATACAATTTGAATAATTATTTATAATTTTACCTTTAGCAGCTACAAAGTCTGCAAAGAATATCCAGCTAGCTGCAATTAGGGCAGCAAATCCTAAAACAAAGCCTATGAATAGCCAACTGCGAGCTCCTCTGGGTCCAAACCAACCTCCAGAATAAGCTTCACCACGAATTTGCGAGTTGGACACAATGTTGACCCTGAAAAACGTAATTACGTAAAGTTATTAAATCTGCATTAAAAAAAATTGTTAATTTTACTTAACCTAAGATTAAAAAAAATGGCTGAAGGCAGACTGGACGATTAAAAGAGTGATATATTATGATTTATGATAGTATATGAACTGAAAATGTTTTCTTCTTTATAATAGACTACATTTATTGGCGTCATAACCTTGTTGGTGAAAGACTGGTGTGCCATGCAAGTAAATATTAGTGTAGCTCGTTAATACAATGACATAGGACGTTATATTATTATGAAGCTATACCCTGTCTGCCGAGAAACCATGCACCAACCCGACGAAAATTGGCCATTCTGCGCATCTTCGCGCGGCACCCAGTGTGACTAGCGTTCTCCCCAGAGACCCCCCTGTCTGCCAGCATGTTCTCGACAGCTGCTTAGTCTTCAGTCTACATGCACAAACCCGGCATGCATGGCATTATTTTTTTACAAAATCTTAATTTAAAGGTTAAACTGTGACGTAATTATTAGTTAATTGGTTTATGTATATGTAATTGGTAGTTAATTTATTTTTCGGACTATCACAGCATTAAGAAAAAAAAAAATTCATCTAAACATAAGTGCACAGAATGCATTTCCATAGTCCATAGTGGTTTTAGAGTAAAAACACTCATTATGAAATCAAAAATAATAACATTTTGAAGATAATGTTATATTAGATTTCGAAAATAATAATCTGAAAAAAGTTATAACTATTTAAAAAGAATTTTAAAAAAATGTGATTGTAGAATATTATGATCATAAAAAAAAAAGGATGTGACATTGTCTTCAAAATCTTGTCATCTTTCGGTTTTAATATAAGTATTTTAGCTTTAAAAGCACTACTTAATAAGTAATACACATTATGCATAGCTATGTTTTAACACTAGAAAATTGGGTGTATAACGTCTTCTTAATAAGGTATTGTGGTTTGTGGATCCGACACAGGCCCCGGTAGTTTTCCCTTAAAGATTTTATTAGGTAAAATTTTTTAATACAAATATTGTAAGTTATTTAACTATCATGTTTCTTTTAATTTTATTAGCCCACACTATGCATGTATTTATGCGTTGATATATAATGATTTTAAGACTGTGTAGTTTCATAATCTACACAGAATAGTTTTCTTAGAATATAGTATTCCATACATGATAAGTATATAATATGGATGGTTCAAAGCATAAGTGAACCATGTCCATCACAGTTGATTTCAAGTAATGGGCTCCCAAATTGTTTTTTGCATAATCTACTATGTGGTACAATGTATACAGAATACTTGTTGCCATTTTGTAACATTAAGATGAACAAAGGATTTTGTTCATTATGACACTGAAAGATATTACTTTTATGCCTATTTTTCATGAAAAACCTTACAATGTGAAAAAAATAGACTTGATTCACTTGTGCACTGAACCCTCCATATCATTAAGGCTAATAAGTTATTGCTTACATAAACAAAGAAAATGTCCCAACCAGTCCGCAAATGTGATAAGTACCAGGCACTTGACTGGGATTAACGACTGTACCGTCAATTATTAACCACCATCCAGTTGCAAACTGCAAAATATACATTTAAATGTGTTAAAAATGTTCAAGTCGTTTTTAAATAACGAATACAAACCAAAAATCCGGATATCATGCCAGAAATGACATTTCTTTTTTCACCGCCGCCTTCAAACCACAAACAATTTCCCCAATTTATATTATCCATACACTCCATGAGTATGTTTTGAGATAAAATATAATATAAAAAATAGTTGAAGAGATAGTAGTTAAAATCAGTATAAAGTAAAAGGTTATTTAAACTAAAAAATTTTAAGCAAGCAGTGTAGTTAATATATAATAGTTTTGGCTAAAATCATCAAGATTCAACTACCAATTTGTGTATCAATATATTTTACTTATCTATGACTCCAGACGAGTCTCAGACAACAGACTACAGAGAACAGTGTTCACAAAATGATTATTAAATAAATGTTTATAATAGTAATGACAACATAGAATAGACTGTTATGTAGGTAGCGCTGATAAACATGGTCATATGTTTCATTATCATTTTACAAATTTTTTCAAAAACAAATAAAATTGATATCTATTTATGTTTATTACAATTTTTCTTGTAATTCATGTGTCAGTAACAGGTAACTAGTGTGTAAAACAAATTAGACCAAAATTCAAAAATTCAACTTTTATACACTATTGATGATCATTTTTGTACTTTTTGTGTAGGTAAATGTGTAAGTTATTGTACTTTAATCTCTTAACGTTTTGAATTTAACTGTGCAAATTCTTAAAGTATTTTGACCTTAAAAAATATTTATTATGCTACCTTCTAAAGGTTATTTTAAGGCTCTTGAATGTCCTTATTATAATTTATCCTTTTGTGATCGACCGTATTGTCATTTTAAGCACAGTAAACAAGACTATTTATCAGACAATGATTTACATCATGCTGCTAGCACTGATATTACAAATTTAAAATCATCCAACAATACAAAGCCTTCTGACGAATCAGTGATTAAACAAAAGACAAAATCTAAAATAATTGAGTATGTACCTAAATGTATTAAACCTAAAAATCTTGAAAATATTAATAGTATCATTAAAAAAGAAACAAATCCAGTCCCAGAATATGTACCTTCACCTGTCAATGGTACTACTTCAAATTTTAAAGAATATGTTGATATTCAAAATGATAGCAATATGGATGAAAAAATGTCAGTTGAATATACTAAACCAGTATCAGAATCATATAATATTAACAAACAATCTTTAGATATTACAGAATATATTCCTAGTAGTATTGTTAAAACTAAAAATCCTAAAGAAGTCTCTGGCAACAAAGATAACCATAAACATCATTCTTCATCAAAACGTAAGCATACGTCATCAAGAAGTCCTTCGAGATCTTCAAGTAAATCAAAAAAATCCAAGAGAGACAAATCTACAGATAATATCAAGACTAAAAAGAGAGAACATTCTAAAGATGAAAGACGCAGAAAAGACAAAATCCAAGATAAAAATGATGTATTGTTTGACAATACAAAGAAATTCGTTGGACCAAAATCATTAAAAGAAGCTGTTTTACAAAAAGTGAATAAAACCTTAGAAGATACTATTAATGCACGAAAAGTGTCCAGTTCAAGTATTGAAAATAATGATGCATTGACAAGCTCGGTGAAATCTGATTTAGAAGACTTATTCCATTCCGATATTTCTGATATTTCAGAAACTGAGCAAAACGAAGAAAAATGTAATATCATAGAAGCTAAAACAAAGAAACGAATTGCACACATTTCGTCTAATAGCATATTCTCAAAAATTAATGCCAAACCAGTTGCTAGACCTAGAAGTACAAAATCATTACATGAAATGGTGGCTAGCCGTATACAAATGACTCAAAATAATAAAATAAATGAGCTGTCAAGTTTGGCCATTAAAAGTAAACCCCCATTCTTAAACAATGACTTGATCACACCTGTTCTGAAGACAAAAAATCGAATAGCTCATCAACCCAAGCTTGAATTATCATCTACTGGTGAAACATCAAGTAGTTCTGAAAAAAGCAAATTACCCAATGCAAATATTAAGCCAAATTTAAGGGTTAAAACATTCAAAAGTAGTAATAATATGCCTAATCCTATGCGTCAAAGTTGTTTGGAAAAACTTTATGCAGCATTTGTTAAATACTATACATCTGAAGAAGCCATTAAGAATGCTTATACAACCGAGGAGGAAGTTCATAACAAAGCTAAAACGTCTGGAATTTATAGGAATTTAATTGTGCAGTCTTTATTGAAAGCCAACAAACCACCCGAACTTCAGAATAAAATTAATCCTAATTACCCTTCTCATATGCACGGTGTATGTCTTTATGGACTTTTAAAAAAATATGTATTGTCCAAAGAAGATTTGGAGCAAAATGGGTATCCACTAATGGGTAATAATAAATTGGCTTACATTTCCAAAAATGCACACTACTATCGACCAATATCAAAAAAACGCAATGGTGACAAATTTATTTGTATGAATTGTAGAAATGAGTTTATGGTAGACAAACATGGTATGCCTACATTGACATTAAATAAATGTATTTATCATTCTGGAAAATTGAGATTTGAAAGATCGAAAAATGAAAAATTTTGGATGTGCTGTTACAAGAGACAACACGAGTCAGGCTGTGAATCGAGTATTTATCATATGCCAGATAAATTAGATGATGATGCGTTAGAAGAATTTGTTTCTACAGAAGGTGTAGAATGTAAAAAAAACTCTGAAGAACCTAATTTTTATGCCTTGGACTGTGAAATGGTGAACACAACTGTTGGTACGGAAATGGTACGTGTGACTGTCATTGATCATGAGGGAAATGAAGTATACGAGTCTAAAATTAAGCCTTTTAACCCAATACTTGATTATAAATCTAAGTACAGTGGGATTACTGAAGAGTCATTAAAGTACTGTTCTAAAAGATTGTTTGAAGTACAATTAGACTTGTTGAAAATGTTCAACCGAGATTCAATTTTAATAGGTCATAGTTTAGAAAATGATTTAAAAGCTCTAAAAATTGTTCATTATAATGTAGTGGATACAAGCATAATGTATCCTCATAAATATGGCCCACCGTATAAATGGAGTTTAAAATTGTTGTCTGAACAATATCTTCAAAGAATAATACAAAGTGAAGAAGGGCATGACAGCAAAGAAGATGCAGTAGCTTCATTGGATCTAGTTTGGAAACGACTAAAAGAAGACGTAAAAAAATTTAAACCTGTTAACATTATTAGCGTGAATAAAAAATAATAAACCATAGAGTTAAATATTTATATAAAAAAAATTGATCTCATAGTTTTTTTAATTGTACATAAAAAACATTTATGTATGTGATCCATTGATTTAAACATGCTGTATAAAAAATATATTTTTAATTAAACAATTTGAAAATTGGTACTTTTGGATAATCCTTTATTTTGTAACTATTTATAAAACTAATATTTTGTTTCTGGTTTTTTTAAATTTATATATTATATTTGTTTATATATTCAATTGTTATTCATGAAATAACATGTAGAATGAGTATGTTCTTTTTATGTAATATTAAAAAATAAAATATAGTACGCATTTTTAATTTCATAATTAACTTTTAATAAAATGAAGCTGGATATTTTGTTTTAATAAAAAGTCCAATTATTTTAGTTATATTATAAATTTGCATTCATTATTTATTATTCGTTAACTGGAGAGATTACTTAATTAAAATATTACCTAATTTGTAAAGCCTATTCAAATTTGTATCACTCTCGGTGATTCTTTTAATGCTCTACACTAGCGTAGTCTTACAATAATTGCAAATTTGTAGTGTTTCTTTTTGAAAACATTTTTATTTATATTCTAGTATGTCATATTAGATTATATTCACATTATTATATTTTTAGTATATACTAGAGCCATATTAACTTTTAAAACTTGTATAGTAACGTATATATTTTATTAACTAGTTAAATTAAGAATAACTTGCTGAAAATATTGACAGGTCGATAACTAGTTTTGAAGAAAATTAGGCCTAATTTTTAAAAGTTTATGCTTCAAGTTAAAACATATAAAGTTGACCTCAAAAAAAGAGGATTATAAAAGTTTTAGCGCTTTATCTCATTATTAAGGGGTAGTGGTCATTTTTTTTCTTTTCATAAAATACGATTTCAATGAGTTAGACCTTGATTTATACGGTTTTTGTAGCGATTAAAAAAGTATTAAATAATAAACAACTAAATCTGGTATTAAAGAGGCTTTTACTCAAATACTTTCAAGTCTAATGATGGATTATCCAACTTGGCCTCAAATATTTGAATAAAAAGCATCTTTAAAACCAGATTTATTTGTTTATTATTTAATTTTTTTTTAATCGTCACAAAAACCGTAAAAATCAAGGTATATATATTTATACACATGTGTGTGTTTCCCTTTTTTCAGTTAAGAGGGCGCCACATACCCGTTATTTGCTTCAAAAAACCCGCTTTGCGCGGATTAATTTTACAAAGGCTGTAATCAAAACTAAGAAACCAAATTTTCACATAATATAAACAACAACATTGTCAATCATCGTTCTACCATCGCCCTTTTTTTAATATTTCAACCAGTTAATGAATAATTAATTAATTAAGGACTTTTTTACTTTTTTAAAAATTATATAGCGTTGGTTGTATTAAGTATTTCGAAAAAATACGGATGATAGAACACAGATAGTTTTGTCATAAATAATATGTATGAATTTTTTTCCTGAAAAATGAAGCCTGAGAAAAATTAATCCGCGTAAAACTCAATTCAACAAATTTTTTTTTAATCGCTGTCAATGATGTTGTGATAGTCCGAAAAATAATTTAACTACTAAAAAAGAGTCCTAACTACTGAACTCATAGTTACACATCACAGTTTAACCTTTAAGTTAAGATTTTGTAAAAAATTGCCTATACTTTACTCCTTAAAAATGGGCGGTGCGACGCCCTCTTAAGTGATTCATACTATTATACGATATATTCATCGATCTTATACTAAAATTATGCCAAATGTATTGATCTAACTTGATTTTGCCTTTGATAATATAATTCACTGCCTTTGAAGATAATATTTTCTATGGCCATGATATAATTTGTTAATACATTAAAAATTATTAATTATTTAAAACAAAAAAATATATATTTAGAAATTATGGTATTTTTAGTGTACCATAAAATGTATTTTGGTATACATTATATTGCATAAAAACATAGATAGATATATAATAAACTAGATTGCTAACTGTACATGCCACCAATAGAGAAGATTGAAGCAGCCACTTTCCATCATCTTGGTGGGAATCAGAACCTTATCACGAGAGAATTATATATGTTTATAACAATCACATCTGTATATAATATTGATATAATAATATATACAGATATATATTATATGCATTGATAACACACCTAAATCCCATCAGAATGGCGGACCGTCGGCTTCAATTCTCATCGCTAGTTAGCAATCTAGTATATTATATATATCTGTGCATAAAAATGACATGAATACCATAATAATGGTACGTTTGGCCACCATGAATTAGTCTATAAACTGATCTGGCATCTGCACTTAACGCGTTCCGGTATTACAGCAAATCTGAAATCTCATCTGATTACTAGATGGCGTTAAAGATACCGTGTATTGTTCCAGGGCCCGCTCAAATTGTAACGGTTTTTCAGACAGCCGAGTGCCGACAATGGTCACTAGTGTCTAGATACTGAAATCTCAATACGGAATACAACTGCGGGACCAGCAGCTGCCAGCAAGAGTTCAACCGCATTACGCATTAGTTGACAATACATAATAATAGTTATTAATACAGTTGTCTGTTTTTATATGGGTAATTGGTAAATTAAGTGTCGTTGGTTATGATTTACTGTTCCGGCCGATGTAAAATTTCACGTCAACGGATGCACTCATGATTTGTATACATGTTTGTATGGTTTTATGATTGTAATCATATAAGAATTGTGAGTACTTTTTTTTTTTAATTTATGGTTTTAAGTGTAAATGTTAATTTCAATTTTGTTATCATTAGATTGTTACAAACCATAATGGAACCAGCTACTGAATCAATATCCGTGCGCTCTATGCGCCTTAATAATACGCTTTATGGGCCTACCATAATGTCCAGTACAGCTTTGAACAAGGAATTACTTTTTGATTCTATTATTTTATTATTTGATGAATGCAACAATGAAGTAATGAAAAGTGATCAGCTGATCGCGAGTTTCATTAACAAATGTAAGGAATGTTTTTTTGTTTGTTGAGTATTGTTTTTAATTTTTTTGTAATTGCAGTCAAAATGGTCATTCCCGAATTGAAATCGCTTCGTGTGAATCGATTGGATTTCGAATCGAAACAAGTTATTGGTAAAGGACATTTTGGAGAAGTCGAACTAGTGGTTGAAAAGCATACAAATGATATTTTTGCCATGAAAGTGTTAAAAAAAGACATGCTGCTCAATCATAAAGATGTAATATATTTTTTTCAATTTTTCTGAAAGGCTAAATTACGTATATGTATTTAATATTTTTTTGACTAACTACATTAATTTTAGATTGCATTCTTTGAACACGAAAGAGACATAATGGCATCATCTAGTTCACCTTTTTTAACACAATTACATTATGCTTTTCAAGATTTTCAAAATTTGTATCTTGTAATGGACTATCATCCGGGCGGTGATTTTGCTAACTTAATTGATAAATTTAATGGCACGCTGTCAGAAAATACTGCTAAGTAATTTAATTGATAAAAATATTTATATAAAATAACTGTTGATTCATTAACTCTTATTTTTTTAGGTTTTATATTGCCGAATTATTGTTGGCTGTTAAACATGTACACGCTATGGGATTTGCTCATCGTGATATTAAACCGGAAAATATGATGTTAGATCGTACCGGCCATTTAAAGTTGGTAGACTTTGGTTCTTCAGCCAAATTTGATCGTGATGGTAAAATCAAAACTCGAATGCCTGTTGGTACCTCGGAATATTTAGCTCCCGAAGTCCTACAAGTAAACAATATATAACTGTGTTTACTAATAACTTTCACAAATTACGAAACATTTTTTAATTAATTTTAATTTTTACATAGTTTATGCAATCAAACTCGATGAATGGTTATAGCCCTCAATGTGACTTGTGGTCTGTTGGGATTGTCGCGTATGAAATGGCAACAGGAGATACTCCGTTTAATGCCGAACAACAAGCAGTCATTTACTCCAACATTTTAAGTTTTGACAATTTATTAAAATACCCAACGTTCTCAAATATAACTCCAGGTTAGTGAACTTTATATATGTTACACCTTAGATACGAGTTTGAGAACTGTGCACATTTTTAATATTTTTCGCCCAATTTATGAATTTTAGATCATATTGATTTAGTGAATTTTTGTTTAATTTTATATATAGCATGCAATTTAAAAAGTTTACTCTTTTTACTTCAAAATAGCCACCTACTTGCACTGATTCATCAACCCTATATGACTTAATAGTTCATTTAAAAATAAAAATTTTGTTTTTTTATGTTAATAAACAATTTAAGTAATAAACCAACAATACATCAAATATTTCTCTCATATTCTTTTGAACATTTTTTTCATCATCTTTCTAATGAGCCTACTATGAATATTGTAGCTACAAAATTGAAAAAGATATATTCAAGAGAATATAGATATCAATTTTACACATGTTAACTAATTGGAAAATCCAAAACAGCTTTGCATGACCTTTAAATATTATTTGTATAAATTTACAGTTGTTTAAAATTTTGACATTTTCTATCTTTTACCCTAAATTAAAAATTTGCCGGATAAATAAAAAAAAAATGTTTAGTGATTAGTATAATATATTAATGCAATATTTATTATTAAATAATGTGTAACTATTACATTTTTCAGCTTATAAGCAGATGATAGAATGTTTAGTATGTCATGTAGAGAAACGATTTACTGTGGACATGATGATTGATTTAGATATATTTTCTAAAATCAATTTTAACACATTACACGACCAGGTCCCTCCATACATTCCATCGTTGTCGTCCGATAAAGACGTTTCAAATTTCCCAATACACGAGCGTGATCGTCCGACACTCAATATGCATAATTTCAAAGTATTTTATTTTAGCTTCGATGTTCTATATTAATTTCTTTCAATGAAATTTTATATTATTTATTTTTTACTGTAGAAACCAAAACAATTTTCCGGTCGAGATTTGCCATTCATTGGTTTCACGTATAGTTTACAAGTTCCAAAGCGTAATCAGCAACACTATATAAGTAGTCCAGAGTTGGAAACAACAATACGAATTAAACGGAAAGAGCTTGAAGATGCACATGTTTTGATACAAGCTTATGAAGAGAAAATATCAGAATACGATGAAATGATGATCGCCAATGAAGAAAGAATTAAGAAAATGGAAGAAGAAAATGTTTTGTTACATGTTGACGTGTCATCACTTAGTAGCGAATTAGGTAGACTAACTAAAATAAGTGAAACCAGTGAAACTAGTAATGATGAAATTGATATGCAGAAAAAACAAGCAGAAATAGTCAGGGTATTAGTGATTTTATTATTTAACATAATTCATATTATAATCGATAATTGTTATTTTTAATTAGAACGAAATTGATAAGTGGGAAATTAAAACAATCGGTGAATTATATAATATGGAAGAGTTGAAGGCGCAAAATGAAGATTTCCAAGCACATAATGTTGAGCTGCAATCACAGTAATTAATAATCCTATAGTTAATTTTTTTATAATTTATTATAATTTTTATTGTTTTTAGATTGCTTAAACATCAATCTGATATAAAAATTTATCAAGAAAACGAAGAACAGCTTAATAAAAAAATTGCAAAACTTAAATCTAAATTAAAACATATTGTACGACGTTCAAAACAATTAACCGAAGAAAATATTGACAATCATGTAACATCGTTGATGGCTGAAATGAAAACTAAAGAAGACGCATTTGGCCTAGAAATTAATAAATTAAATGAAAACAACCATGCACTCCAGAAGAAAATCTTAGCCATGCAAATGGATTTAGATAATTTGAATATTAAAGTAAGACATTCTTTTTTTTTACCAAAGCAATATTATATGGTATCGTTGTCATCTAATATTTTTAAAATATAACATTGTTCTTTAAATTTAAGGTATCGCAAAATGTCGACAAAGAAATGGCAATGCAAGCCGAACATAAAGCAACTTGTTTGAAAATGGTATCTGATTTTGAGTCTAAATTAAGTTCTGTGTATAAAGAAAAAGATACTGAAATAGAAAAATTACATACTAAAATAGCACAGTTACAACAACAGTTTAGTGATTCCTTGATTTCATTTGAGAAACATGAAAATGCAATCTCTGCAAAAGAAACTGAGAAAGAGGTAAATTTGAATCTGTTTATAACTTATTTTATAGAAAACACAAGAAAAGTCTGAACTGTCCAAACTATCATAGATTAAAGCATTTATATGATGAGAACTCAACTCATAATTATTGTGGTAATTTATTAGGAATACTTTGATCCTCTTAAATAGACATTTTAAATATAAATGTAATCGCGGCACAATTTTTGTGAAAAAAAAAAAAATGTATTCACTTTGAAAGTGACTGTTAAAAACATTAAACGTTTCTGTACCTGAAATTTACCTTTTGGATAATTTAATCCCTAGCTGGCTGAATTGAAATTCCCAAAACACTGGAAACGAAAGAAAATCATCTTAAAACTTATATATTTTGTAAAAAAAATATTTATTATGTTCGCTTTAATAGTATAATATAAACAAGGAAACTACTTTCCTCTTAATCCACGCCTGAAGAAACTAATTTACAGAACACTACTTTGGTCATGAGGTTTTTCTAAAAAAATATCATTATAATTAATTTAGTTATAACAAAAAAGAAAAATGATCATAAATGCATTTTAATTTTGAAATGTAAAATTTCAGTAGACTGTAGGGTGTCTAATACGTGATTATCCTAGGTATAAGCCACATGATTAGATATTCAAAAATATCATTCAAAATCTCCTGTTGCTTCTTTCCTAGATAGATGTGTTTATTTCTAGTAGTTATTTTTATTGTTTAAATAATATTTTACAGTTTGAATCAGAACTGACAACACGTGAACAGCAAATCAAGGATTTAAAATTAGATTTGCGAATATTAGAACGCAAACACAAAACATGTGAAGAAACTATTAGTGGACTCAGGGTAAAATTGTTATTAATATCTTTTTCTTTTTCTTCGCCTTTATCCCAACTATTTGGGGTCGACCATCCTTGCCCTAAATCTCTCCTCATCATTTTTAATTGCATCTAACCACCTTTTTTTTCTTTCTTCCTCTATTCATCTTTCCTCGTGCGTATATTTTCATTACCATTCTTACTGCATCCAATAACATGCCTCTCTCCTAATACTATCTAAGTCTATTTTCCCTCATTTTGTCCGCTATTGAAGCTATCTTCTCTTGTCCACACTAATCATGCACCTAATTATTTTCATCTCCGCTATACTCATTCTTTGTTCTATTTTCCTGTCTACTGCTTATTACTTGGAACCAAACTACATAAAGTTGTAAGTCTCACTACTACTTAAAATTGTCAACTACTTAAAACTGATATTACTATGAATTTAAAATAAAACTGTTAATTCATTATAAGATTAAACTAAAAAAAAAATAAAAAATAATTGTTTCCTATTTTTAAATTTAGGAGTATCATAAAGATGCTCGAGCTAGATCAAAACAGGAAATAGCTAAAATACATGAGGAAAATAGTTTGCAAATAAAAATCAAAGAAGACGAAGTTAAGGATTTGGAAAACAAAATTAAAGTTCTTAATGAGACTATTGAATCATTACAACTAAAACTAGATAAAGAAATAGCTGAATCTAAGAGATTGAGTGTTGAAGTAACTAAGATGATTGATGAATCTAAGAGTTGGACAAGTGAAAAGTCTTCACTCGAAAGAAGCGTGAGTTAAGAAACGAAAAAGTAAATATATTTTTCCAGGAAATTAACAACACACATTAAATATATTTTTCAGATTTTGGAAATTAAAACAAAATTTAATAATAGTGAGTCAAATGTAAAGACTTTAGAAGAATTAGTCACCAAGCAAGATGAACAGTTGGAAGAATTAGGGCAAGCCGTTCAGTCCATGAAATCTAAAGAAAAACAATTACTTGAAGACATAAAAAATAAAAAAGTAATTGAATCCTATTGGCAATTTATTGCTATTACATTGATTTTAAATGTTTTATAATAAAAATATTATAATACTGATTATAAACCTAAAACTTGTAAGTTTATTTAAATAAAAATCTAATTTGTAAAATTTGTTGAAGGATGAAATTGAAAAAATCAAAAGTGATATGCGTCAAGCAAAGAAAATGTATAATGAGGAAAAGTCTCTGCGTATTTTGGCCGAAAGTAAAGGAAAAACGATTGAAAGCGTCCAAGATAATGTGAAAGCTGAAATGAAACTGCTTACAGATCAAATTCATGAAAAAAATGTCAAAATTGATTCTTTGAAAAAACAGGTATTAATTTATCATTATAAGTTTTAAAAATTTCAATTTAATACGTTCACTACAGATGATGCCAATTGGTGTCATTTAGTATAATTCACATGTGCGACGAATGATTGACATCTTTTAATGTACTATAACTGTATCTATAAAAATTAAATAATACACATGCAAGTTGTACATAGATATTCTTATTTTTAGACTATATCTTATTGTATGTATTTGGGGAAATTTAAAAATTGATTAAAAAAATATGTGTTAGATTTTGATAACATTTTAGTCGTAACGCCATTTGGCGTCAAACAACATCTGATTAAGAAATAAGTATATAGTGCGGGTGACAACAAAGTGGGTAAATAAAAAAAAGCCCTCATTTTTTTCCGCACATGTGAGCATATATACTAATATGATTAATAGTGAATGTGTTAAGTAATAAGAAGATTACAAATTAAAGATAATCTTAATGTTTATTCAGTTAGATGAATTGACATCGAATTTAAGAGAAAAGAGTACCTTGTTCTTCACGTTACAAGTTGAATCTGAAAAGGTTGTTAAAGAATTAAACAGGTTAAGAACCGAAATGTCTGAGAACATTAGTCAAAAGCAGTTATTAAAAGAAGCCAACGTTCGGCTGACCCAGCAACTCGAAGCAACGGTTGAAGATACAAATGTATGTCACAAAATGACAGACATTAATTGTATTTTTTAAATTTTGCCGTCCATTATTAATTTTTAATTTTAACGCATAGGTCATGCAAAGCGTTATTGGAAAATATAAAAATGCTCTGATAGAACAAAAAGTTTACTACGACGAGCGTTTGATCAAAGCTGACGCAACTATTTTGCAGCAGACAAAACTTATTGACTTCTTGCAAACCAAATTTGATGAATTAACAAAGAAAAAGAGAACTCTCGGTGATTTATTGTTTAGTGGCAAAAACAAAGAGAATATTGACCAAAAAGTAAAATGGATATAAATATATATACTTATAATTTAATTTTAAACAATTATCTCCAATTTATTTTTATGTAGGATATTGAAGTGTTATTAAACTCTGAGAGAAGTAAGTCTAAAGATTTAGCCACTAAGTTGTATCAAACACAAGCAGAGTTAAATTTGGTGAGAGCTCAAGGGCCATTTGTATCACCTTTGGCTCCGACACGTCTTAACTTTGATTCTAACTCTCCTGTGTATACTAAATCGACTCCGGGAACAGTTCGTAAAACTATATCTGCATCTCAGCACAAGTAATTATGGGCACTAAACTATACATAGTAATCATGTAAAAAGTGATCAGTAAAAAATAAAAATATATATTCTGAACTTAAAAAGTAATTTTTTTAATTTATCTTACCATGCACTGTGTTTAAAAGAAGCAACTTTAAGTAAAAGATCAATCATCAATTATTATGTCAAACATTTGTATAGTATTTTCCCTTTGTAAAAATTTAATGAAATACATACAAACCCATTTTTCAATTGAGAAAAATCTATAAATCAAATAACACAATAAACACATTTAGTCTTTTTTATCATCTACTGTTACAATAATTTATTTTTTTAATATTGCTAAACTTTATAACCTAACCATATAATATACTAAAAGTGTCTAGTAACCTCTATTGAATTTAAATGTATTTTTTAAATAAAAAAAAAAATTGATCACTTTAATAAATTTTGTCTAATTTAACTTTTATACTTCACATATTATTATACTCAAATCTGTGTTTATTTAACTCAATTTAACTTAATGACGAAAAAAAGGATTCCAAATGATAATTTGAGGTACTTGAAATATTTATTTTGTTTGATAAACTTATTTTTGGAGAGGAAAAAATATGAATTTTGGTCTTATACTTAAAGTTGAAACTGGCATGGTAAATATCTAACTAGAGTTTACTACAAAAAAAGTAAAATTTCACATTTTTTGAAACTATACTGAAACAATATATTCTATTGTTTAATTTATTCTAGGTTCGATGTAAAAATATGTAAACGTGGAGGTTTACAATGTTCATATTGTGAGTCCGAAATAATGGTGGGACAGCAGTTGTGTCAATGTCAAGAGTGTAGAGTGTCGACACACGTAACATGCTCTCACGAACTTTTGGAAGATTGCACTGGTGTATCAAAAGATGAAGAAAAATCTACTATAAAATGTGAAAACCATAAAAACTCTCAAATTGAATCTTGGATCACAATATGGGAGTAAGTAGTATGACATAGATGTCAGTTTATATACTACTTTTCTAGGAAAAACCTTATTAAAATGGTTTTATTTTTTAGTAATACTAAACATATATGGGATCGGAAATATGCAAAAATTGACAATAGCGTTCTTTATATTCTTAACAATAAGCATGATCATGATCGCGAACCGTTCTTTATGCTTCCATTATCGTTGTCGTCCAACATAGTAAAAGTTGTAGACGTAGCTCAGTCAAACGATAAAACATTTGATAAAGACACCAACGAAGACTATGATCAAATGTTTAAAGTAGAAGTGTACAACTTAAACACTGGCTGGATGACAGTATTTTTGTATATAATCGTTTCGAGCCTATCGGAAAAAGAAAAGTGGCTTACTATCATTAGAGAACACCTGGCCAATAATGATTACACTATCCAACAAAGTCAAAGTTACAAAGATACTATTTACACATTTCAAAAAGAAAAAATTATAAACGTCAATTGTATCCATCAAATATCACAAAGTGTATGTTATATATAATTTTTTTATGTTGAAAAATAAATCATTACACATTATTTAATGATACATAACAGGTGCACTTGTTGGGTGCTGACGAAGGTTTGTTTTCAGTTCACATGAAAACACAAAATGACCAGGTAATATACGATCTCGTCTCCATAGTCGGACCAAAACTAGTCAAACATTTTGTCTTCTTGCCAAAAATTCAAATAGTCTTAATGATTGCTGGTGAGATTAAATATTTTATTTATTTATCGTGTTAAAAATGATTTATATCTATTATACATGATTGGTTATTTTAGGTTCTACGAGAGAACTTTTAAAATGCAATATGCGATCTGTCGTTCTAAACTCTGAACTCAGTATTATGGCGAAGCCTGTAATTGATGTTGTCCGAATAATTAATGAGATACGTAACAGTCAAGAATCCAATAGCGGATTGGCCATGTCCGAACTAAAAGAAATAAATTGCGTTGCCGCATCTCATTGCAATGAATTGGTTGTCGTCGGGTCAGAACATAACATAACGTAAGTAAAAATGAACGGTATGCAATGTAATATTACTATAGTTAATAAATGTAAAATATTTTCAATAGGGTATTAAAATGGTTAGACGATAAATTTATCGTAAAGAAAATACTAAAAACGAATGTACCAACTAATTGCATTTGTTTTATGCCAACTGGAATAATTTTTACTACAAACAGTTTTTATAAAATAGAAACTGAAGGCTTCAGCTGTAAAAGTGAGTATTAGTTTTATAGTTTTATTAAAAATAAAGGACTAATTCGTGTAACAATATTTGAGATATTAGGGTCTTAGAGGTATTAGGGAGATATTAGGGTTTTTAGAATTTACTATAACTGAAAGTGGTAAAATCACTTAAAAAACGCTTTGATGTGATGATAAAAACTATTCAATATAAAATAAAATATGAAACAAAAGTATCAAGCACTTTGTAATTAATAAATTGTATTTTTTTACTTTTCATGTTGTCAGCTTCCACATCAAAGCTAAAACAAATTATGTTTCATTGTTATAATTTTTATATAACTATGTGATTTTTAGGGTTTTATACAGATGCTGTAGCCAAGGCACACGATTATCGTCCCATGTACGCATGTGAATTGACAAAAAACCAAGAGTATCTTCTCTGTTACAGTATGTATGGCATATTTGTAGACAATGACGGCAAGAGAACGCGAGGCGGAGAAATGAAATGGCCATACAGTCCAAAGAGTTTTGGTATACAACCATATTGCATTTTATATTGTTAAATGGATGAACATTAACGTGTTCAATTTAAATTTTAGCTTTCAAAAAGCCTTATTTAGTAATTGTATCAGAATCTGAAATTACAATAATTAAGATCACTCAATCTTGTTGCGTTGACGAAGACAGATGGAGTATTACTTCTACAAAACAGCCAAATGACCAAATTGTGTTAAATATAAACTCGCCAAAACTTTTAGGTATACAATTAATTAATTACACTTCTTTAAGGTAAAAAATAAACTGAGTTTGAATTTTCATTATAAATTATGTCATATGTACAGGAGGCAATGATTTATACCTAAAAGATATAAACGATTATCAAGGTTCGTGCAGTATATTCCAACTGGATCCATCTAAAATTCTTAAGAGTTCTATATCTCAAAGTAATTCCACTATAGACACACAAGATACAGTGTGAGTAAAACAATAATTATTATTATATCTAATTTGTTTAATAAAACGAGTAATGAGTTTTTTTTTGTTTTCCAGTGACAATTTGTCTGAGTTTAGTTTTACGTCTTCTATGTTAGAGAATTTAGATGAAGAACTAGTGGACGACCAGAAAAAAGTTTGCTTTGATCCTAATGTACAATTCAACAGTAATTGAATCTATTATAAACATTTAATTAATTTATTTGTCTGTAAATAATTTTAGTTGCCGTTTCGACTTTTTTTATGTATCTTATTGTTTTTTTAATTTGTCTTAAAAATGTACAAAATGTTTGTTCTACTGAGTTTTTCACAAAATGTTTTTAGTAGTGAATTTGTTTTTATACTATTTTACCATATATCACTTTAAGTTATCTCACGTTTTTTTAATAAAAACCATAAATATTGATTTTTTTGTGTGTAATTATTGTTACAAGACCAATAAACATGTATTTGTTTTTCTACAACTCGCATCAACAGTATTTTTTAACATCTAATTTTTTTTATGACCTTCAAAATATAAAATAGTTTGTAATTTTTGAACTCTAATAGGAAAGGTAGCAACTAGCTTACTAATAAGTTATCTACTACACTCTGTTCTTACTCTGAACAGAGTATAGTTTGAAGCATAAAATGTGTTTGAAGTGCTTAAAAAGAATTTCTTAAAATGCATAAAAAGTATTTTTGTAAATTTAATTATTAAGTGTAAAAGTTTGAAGCTTATTTAAAAAATTTGCGCATTAATATTTTTATACTCTTAGTAAAATTTGATTTATTTAATACGACAAACATTTCAAATCTAATGCAAGAGGTTATTTTTTTTCAATAAGAATTTAACTAAAAAAATAATTATAGGAAAATATTTAAAAAGACAACTATTGTATCAAATAACAAATACTAAAAAACCGCTTAGTTATTAGCTTGTGGAACGCTAATATAAATCTACCAACTTTTAAGTTTGTGTTTGGTACAGTTTTCAATGGTTTCTTTTTAAATACAAGATTATTTATCTATTATAGAAACTAATAATAATAAAAATAACATAAACATGGAGAAAAATATAAGAGTAGTTTCTTTTAAAATTAGGACTTGAAAATATTATAATAGTCTTGAAGTATAGGTTAAACATGATTGAAAAATATACATACACCTATATTTGGTTTATTAATTATCCCAGCGATTCTTTTTAGCTTTTCGTTCTTTTAGCGGACCTGTGTGTACTTTCACAGATGCTGTTGGACTAGATCCAACTGTTTGCTCCCAAGTGTGATCTTCACTGGCTTTAAACTGAAAATCAATCATCAATATAGTTTACATTCTTAAGTTCTTAACATTGTTAACATTTATGAGTCGCTAACTGTAAAAAGGGGACAAGTCCACTTGTTCTGAATGTTAATGTTTAAATAACTAAATATTGACAAAACCCCTTTCTGTTGTAAGCTCTTATTTCCAAACACTATATTTGATGTTTGGACAGTTGGATTTCTTTCCTTTTTGCAGTTAGCGATTATTAACACATTAAAAAAAAAATATTCGTATGGCGTATTGACTGGGATTAACACATTGACTACCAACTACGAGTTATATTGTACTTTGTTTACTTGCCAAAAAACACATTCTATATGCATTTTGATGATAACATGTGCTATAATTTGAGTTTTTAATAATATAATATGATTAAATTAAGTTGGCTTTTTAGATTGGAATCCTGAAAGTACTATGGAATTTAACGTGTTAATTTACTACAAATTTAACCGACCTGGCTTTGATACTGCATTTTGAATGCTTCTTTTAAAGCTGACAATCTACCAGCTCCGGGCCCAGCAGCTTTTGGAGTAGTTGTTGGTTTTGGACATTGATAAGAACTGGACGCCTAAAAATGTAGAGAAATTAAATTTTTTAATAACATAATTAACAATATACTTATAATACTTTATTTAATAAAACAAAATTTACTGCATAATTATTGGATCCAGACGACTCTCTATAACCAAGTCCGGCACCACCGGTGTTTACAGATTTTCCTTTACCACCTTTAAATCGACTTTTTCTAAACCAAGAGCTCTATAAATAAAAATTTGTAAATAATTTAGTGTAGCAATTGAGTTTTTTTTGAAAATTCAAAAAGTAATACTTTAAAAAATTATGGAAGCTAGGGGTGGGGATATTGTATTTACACATTTTGCGGTTACTACCACTTGAATAGGTTGACTGGTCTGCCAACATTTCGGAGTACTTGCACAATCCATCATTAGAGCTGTGGTTCAATGCTGCTCTTACCATGGTTTCCTGTAGAATGAGTCAGTTACTCGTGCCTAACTGCAAGAAACAACGGTACGAGCAACATCCAATCACAAATGAAAGATGGAATGTGCAAGTATTCGGAAACGTTGGCAGATCAGTCAAGTGGGAGTAATCACAATGTGTGTAAATAGTGTAAGTAATATTTTACCTGCATAGCAAGATCCAAAAGTGGCTTGGGAACTTCTTGGCCAACGCCTTCGAGACTTCTGACTAAATGCCCGGCAAATTCAAAATCTTTGGGTGTCACAAGAGTGAATGCATTACCTTTTTCCCCGGCTCGGCCTGAAAACAAAAAAAATCTGTATTTTTTCCACATTGCGATATCTCAAATAATATTATCAACATACCTGTTCTTCCAATACGATGGGTATGTGTGTCAATATCTCGAGCTATGTCATAATTGATAACAGTTCTAATATGAGCGATATCTAGACCTCGTGCTATAAGTTAAAATTAGTAAATAAATATTTTTATTTTTAAATTAAAGAAAAAAAATATGTTTGTATAATTTTTTTTTTTTAAATGGTAAAAATTTAGGCTTTGATGCGGGTATTGTAAGGTATTAGTTTTACAATGATCTGTTTTAATTTTTGTGTCTCGACTAACAATATTTTTTTTTAAACATCTGGACCGATTTTCTTCATGTAGCAAGTCTATAGGTCAGAAATAGTACTCAAATGGTACTATAATGGTAAGGTTAACTGTACTTACCAGCTACGTCAGTTGCTACCATAATATTTACTTCTTGTTTTTTGAATTTAGTTATCACTTTATTTCTCTCAGCCTGATCCATGTCACCATGTAAAAGGAGAACTGCGTACTCCTTTACACTTAATGTATTAGCGAGCTGTTCGGCTTCTAACTGAAAATTTAATATAATATTAAAAAAAATGTTGTATTATTATTCCTTCCCCCCCTCCCAATTAAATCAACCAACTTTTTTAGTGACGAATATAAGAATTGATCCAGACGACTGAAACTGAACTATGTTATCTAAGAGCCATTGACATTTGTCATTTTGAGACATCACTAACATGACTTGTGTAACGTCAGTATTAGCTTCGCCGACATCTCCTTGAACAATGCGTATCGGATCAGTTAGTATGTCGCGAGCTAGTTTTTCGATCCTTTTTTTGAATGTAGCAGAAAACAATAATGTCTGCCTGTCCGGTCTCACATGATCACATATTGAACGGACCTGAGGTTCTGGATAACGAAATTAGTTTAACGATTTATTAATTATTCCTTCGGAAATTCTAATAACACCTACCAAATCCCATGTTAAACATTCTATCTGCTTCGTCTAATACGAGGTACGTTACTCGAGTCAAATTTGTTGCGTTCATTTTGACCAAGTCAATCACTCTTCCCGGAGTACCGACAATTATTTCGGCCCCATCTTCAAGAGCCTTTGACTGTTCCCACTTTGAGCCACCACCGTAACAACAAACAACTCGGAGATTATAAGTTTTCCCAAATTTCTTCACCTCTGCATAAATCTATACAAATAAAAAAACACGGTTACTAACAAATTTTAAACTAGTTCAATATTTATGTATATTTCGGTACTTGTTGCGATAGCTCTCGCGTGGGAGCTAATATCAAACCGATGGGTCCTTCGCCGTCCCTCAACTCGGGTTGATCCATTATGTGGATTAACATAGGCCATATGAATGCCAATGTTTTACCACTACCGGTTTTTGCAATGCCTGAACAAAAGTGAAAAATATGAAATTATTGAACAATTTTGTACTTCTCTTTTCCTTACCAATCAAATCTCTTCCAGCAAGAGCAACTGGTACGGCTTGAGCTTGAATAGGTGTAGGTTGTGTGTAATCGGATTTACGAATAGCTTTTATTAAGGCTTCATCAAAATTAAAATGTGCAAAAGACGTAACCGGGTAAGGTAAATCGGCTCCGTTAACTCGCAATCCAAGTGTTTTGCGTAGATTTATAACTTTGTCAACAGTTAATGATGATATCTCAACGTGTGGGGTATAGAAATTCTTTTCAAAACTTTTATATTCTATTAATGAATGATCTACAGGAGGCAATGGATCTATTTCCTAAGAACAATATATTTTTGCTAAAGTTTAGACAATTTTCATCTTTGTATTAAAAAAAAAAAAATTATAATTTGTAATAATAAACAAAAAATATTGTAAAAATATGAAAAATCAATTTGTATGAAATTAACATTATTGTTTACTTTTCTCTTTGGTGGCGCTATTGGATTACCATCTTCATCGTAATCAATTTCAATATCTGATGTTTCGTCAACGAGACCAGCTGTTGGATTTTCTTCCATGTACCTACAGTCAAATTTGTAAATTTAAATTGAAAATACCAAAACAAAATACGAAAATTATTAAAGTATCAGGATAAACAGTACCTATAATAGGACTCTTCAATGTCTTCATCTTCTATATCTTGTCGTATACCTTTTTCTTCTTCCGGACCTTTCTTTTTATAGGTGTTTTTCTCTTTTTTGACCTAGGTAATTACATTTGAAAAATTATTTTACATAGGTATCTCGGACAAATCAAAAACTATTACCTCTTTTTCCAAGCCTTCCATAAATGCGTCCAATGGGTCTTCTGATGAATCTGAATCACAATCAGACTTCTTATTTGAAGGGCTATCGGGCGCTGGGATATAATCGAGTTGCGAGTGTCGTTGTTCATCTTCTTCTTCAAAGTATCTTAAAAAATGTATTAATTACAAGCGTTCTAAATAAGATGGCTAACAAATGGATAATTAATCGCTTACTCTTCTTCTGTTTTCGCACGCTTTTTTGGAACGCCCCATGCTGAGGTAATAGCTGAATGGTTTATAGCGTTTAAAGTAGAGTAACCTTGTTTACTTAAACCACTGTTTGGCGGTGGAGGTATAGCTGCTGATCGACTAGATGACGACGATCGGCTGGAGTTGAAAGAAAATGAAATCTTATCGTTCATTCTGTTGTTTTGCATCGTGTCGTACTACTTAAGCATAACTTTTAAATGTAACTCTCAACGACTGAACTTCCAGAAACGTTTCGGATGTTTTTTTATTAATCTACATGATACAATCATCCGGCTATTATGTTTTGTTTTCCTTCCTGTTATCACTTATCACATACTCAGAGTTGATAAGGATTAGGTTAAAACCACGATCTCTTTTCTATCACCAAGATCTTTAAGATCGCGGTTAAAGACATAGTAGATTATATTAACATTGATTATGCCATATTATGTATAATCAATGTTAATATAATAAGGAACATGTTAAGAGGATTGCATGAGGTCGGTTTTTTCAGTCAAAATACATAATTTTTATTCCATTGCACAGACCGAACCAGTGATCCGATAAACAATCTAAAAACAGATTTAAATTGACCATAAAGTTTACTTATGATCGTTCAGAGTACTTTTTCAATTTTTAACTTTATCCCTTTCCAAATTTGATTTTAAAATTTGAAATTTCTATATAATATTTAAACGTGTTTTATACATAGTAGGAATAAGATATCAAAAGTTCCCTGACCGATAATAAGTAAACTTCATGACGAATTCAAATCTGTTTTCAGATTACTTATCAGATCACTGGTTCAGCCTGTCCGATGGAACAAAAAATATATGTATATTAACTAAAATGGTTTTTACTCATAGACAAAATAATTTAAATTAGAAATAATACCATGAAGCTTATACAAATTAACCGGTAAATTAATTGACATGATCGAAATTTATTAAAACCCCTTTTTTCTTAAATATTGCCTATACAAAACTCCTTAAAAACCAACCGCATGCAATCCCCTTAAGAGGACGCCACACAGGCCCTTTTCTAAGGAGTAAAAAATAGGCAACTTTTCGAAAAATCTTAATTTAGAGTTTGAACTGTAATGTATACTTATTAATAAAATAATGAGGATACTTTGTTGATGGTCATTTTTTTTTGTCAGACTATCATTGTCATTTCTATAGGATAATTACAATTTTTTTCCAATCAAAACAGTTTTACGCGGATTAATTTTTCTCAGGCTTCATACATAGTTAGGGATAGAAATTCATACATATTTTACATGACAAAATTATCTGTGCTCCAGTATCCGTATTTTTTCGATATACCCAATACAACCGACGCTATATAATTTTAAGCAATACAAATAAAAGAGCAACAACACGCTCATGAAAGTAGGAGTGAAGTGTGGTTATGAACTAAAGAAATAGCAGACTTGGCCACAATGTATATATGTACATAAAACTACACTTTGTAGTGAAGCTAAAATTTATACAAGTAGCCACTTGCATAATGATTAATAATTTATAAACCACGATAGTAATTAAATTAGTCATAATTAATATAGTGTAATTTAATTAATAAATTAGTGAAGCTGGAATTTATTGTAGTGAAGCTAGAATTTATACAAGTAGCCACTATAAATCTAGTTAAGTATTATAAACGTATAAACGAAACCTAAACGTTTAGGTGTACAATTACACTTTATAATAAACCACGTGACAAACGTAACAAGAACAAAGAACACTGCAAAACTGCCATACATGTGAACACGAATTAACAAAGACACAAACTACGACCAAATGATGGCTGACAAGAGACGTGGGAATCAACAGCGCCCTGTACCGGCTGTAGCGCGGCGAAGGTGATTAATCCCCACTTAGCGCATTCATTTTGAGAAAATTGCCATTTTCAGATTTTCCCCTTTACTTACACTATAAGACCCACCTTTGTGCCAAATTTCACGTTTCTACATATACTGGAAGTGTCTTATAATTTTGATGATGAGTGAGTAAGTCAGTGAGTCAGTAACAAAAATGCAAATTTTGAAATCCTCCCATTTTAAAACGGCTAAATATTAAGGCTTCAATTGTAGACAATGTCCTAAACTATTTAAGTTTAATTTAGGTTTCAAATTTTAAAAGCCCATCTTAAGAAGTAGCAGAGATATGAGAGTTAGAAATACCGGGTGAATTGGTTCGTGTAAAGATACACTGGCATTGCTAGAACTTGGCCGGCGAACTGCCGTGCGCTCAGATTGAATAAATGTTATGGCCACAAAACATATAATTAAGACTATACTTTCGTCATAAATCGCAAGGAGATTATAGATTAGAAATAATCACTATTCAGGAGCCAGCAGGCTAAAGTATGTTCCATGTTTTATAATTTCAACCGTTAGGCTTCAAGTACACTGTACATTTTTGTTTTACTCTTTCTGACTGAATTTATCGTTAAAATATTATAGTAGTATTTAAGAGGATGTATTTTAGCTTCGATGCAAAGCGAGAAGGTATTGGTTTTACTCTGATGTGTTTTTTTTTATCTGTATACACTGTAAATTTTTTAATACTGGACCAATTCCTTCGAATAGCAATTCTATAAATCGCAAATTTCATCTAGTTGGTACTTTGGGGGGGTAAAAGTTGAAAAAGTTTACTTCTTCACAGACGAAATTTGAAAAAAAAAAACAGTACAGTGGGGTCGGGGCATAGTGGGGACGGGGAGGTCACAGGTTTACAGGAATTTTTAAATCTGAAAGTGATAAAATCACTTTCGAAAAAACGCTTCGATGCAAATCGGTAGTTAGTATTTTCAAGCCAGTACAGTCCAAACCAAGCACAGTATAAACCAACAAAGCTAGAAAGTTTTAAATTAAGGTTCTGTATTTACAAATGAGCATCAAAGCGTTAATTTGAAAGTGATTTTATCCGAGAGGACTAGTACAGTAGAGTATAGGCATAATGTAATCAAAGCAATGAGGAAACGGAGAGGTCACGGGTCTACAGGAATTATTATAAATAAAAGTGATAAAATTGAATAAAATCACTTTCAAATAAACGCTTTGATGCTCATTTGTAAATACAGAACCTTAATTTAAAACTTTCCAACTTTGCTGGTTTATACTGTGCTTGGTTTGGACTGTACTGGCTTGAAAATACTAACTACCGATTTGCATCGAAGCGTTTTTTCGAAAGTGATTTTATCACTTCAGATCTAAAAATTTCTGTAAACCTGTGACCTCCCCGTCCCCAATATGCCCCGACCCCATTGTACTGGTTTATTTTAAAAGGTTTACATTGACAGACGTAGTAAAAAAAACTTTATTTTTCATGAAAATATTATTTAGTAATTAATACAGTTTCTAAAATGTTTAAAACTCTACTCACTAATACTAATATTTAATAATTATTTACCAATACAGACTCGGTCGGAGTTCAGGGCGGAATTCAAGGAGATTCGGCGCACTTTGATCCATTCTTTAGCTACATTTCCACAAGTAATCCGAATAGATTCAAAGATTAAAATCTGCATTTTGACTTGGGACGATTTTATTAGAAGCCAACTTCATATTTTATAAATTTTCAAAGGTTTACATAACTTTGGCAAAACGGGTTTTATTAAAAACACCTCTCTCCTTCTCTTTCTGTCTCTCTCTCTCTTTCCCTACATATATATTATAATACCTAGATGAATAATATTGCGTACGCAAACGCCTGTTTAGGTGTAGATTAAGGAAGAATTATTTAATATCGATTATTAATATTATTATTTAATATTTAGTAGGTAGTAAATCGTGTTATATTTAAAACCATTGGTTATTTGTGTATATTTATGCAAAAAAATATAGAACTCGGACAAAAATTATAGTTTGACAACAATGCTATAATAATGATAATTATATGTTTACATTCATTTTTTTAAGGCGTACACGGAAATCATATACACAAAAAGAATTAAAAAAAAAAAACTAAAATCATAAGCAGAAGCCCTAACCCATACACGTTTTCTTTTTTTATCAAACAAAATTATACAATTAGGTATTATATTATTATAATAAAATTATTATAAAAAAAATAACTATTCACAAAATAGCAAAATGTATATTATTCTTAGAACGAATACCTTCTTATTATAAATATATATATTATATACTATAAAGCCTAATTAATATTATAAACTATGTACAATACAAAATAATCGACCGCATTGTCAATAATCGTTCAAATGTCTAGAAATAAACATTTAAAAAAATCAACACTTAGCTTACTACAAAATAAAAGAAGAAAAAGTTAAGTATCTAACCAAACAAAATTAAATAATAATGGTAAATTTAAACAATATTAAAAAGAACATGCCTTAAACTATACGTACACACACACACACAAATATATATATATATGAATAGGGGTGAAGTAATATAAACTAAGTTAGGTGTTAATTTATTAATTAATTATTTATGTTGAAATAAAGCGTTCAAAAAAAGATAACTGGATACTTGTAAATTTTTTTTAAGAACCTATTCTCTCAACGACCCAAATCTGGTCAAGATTATAAAAAGTTTAAAAAAAAAAACATTGACAAAAAAAAATAGAATTTAAATTAAAAAGTACGTTTCCTATCGTTCAGGCAACCAATTGTTATGCAATTTTTTTAACCTAACCTGAATCGCAATGCCGACTATATTAATATAATATGTCTGTTGAAGCGGATAAACTACTCATCTTAACTGTACAAACATAAATAGGACGAATTCTAATATAATAATAATAATATAATCAAAATATTAATAATAATAATAATAATAATAATTTAATAATATTATAATATAGACCTATTTTGTATTTTATTTTATTTTATATATGTACAGTAAATACCTACAACAAAACCATAATATATTTGAAAAATGTATATTATTATTATTTCTTATTAATTTTGAATGTAATCGATATTGATTATTATATAAATGCATGGGTAACCGTAAAATGAAAGCAAAAAAACGACTTACTTAGTATGGGAGAATATTGAGATCAGTTGCGTAAAATATATTATTATAATAATATTTGCGCAATATCAAAAAAATAAAAATAAAATAATATCAAACCATACTGAAGTGTTTTAATAATAATAATATATATACTTATATTATACCGATGGATATCCTTCATTTTTTTCCTAAGGTCAACCGATTGGTTAAAATATATTTTATAAATGTATGTAAATCAAAAACGATGTATACATTTATAATTTATAGATATATATGATTTACCTAATATTATAATAATAATAATAATGTATACATAATATAAAACGATAATGTTTTGGGTAAGTAGGTGTTTCTTTTACAAAAAAAAAATAATAATAATAAAATAATAAACAGGGTAAAAAGTACACCAACACACACATAATGCACGTGTAATTTGCGAGTGTGATGTATATATATATATATATCTATATATAAGTAACTCGGTATAATTTTTGAGTTTAGATCTCGTTGGTGAACTTGGACAGCCGGTCCCGTAGTGCTAAATTTTCTTTCTTTAAACGTTCCATCTCTTGTCGGAGGCCCATGTTCTAAACGAGCAAAACCATAACGCGGATTAGACAAATATGAAATAAATTTAAAAAAAAACACACACAAATCACATTAATATAATAAACGTTAGCGCGCTTTGAATATTTTATATGCGCGTTATTAAATGTAAATCAATGGGCGAAATACACGGGCAATATTTGAACACACAAAAAAAAAATGTAACCGAACGTTGTTTTATTTTACCCAACGCGCCAACCACAAGTACCAGGTTTTTTTTTGGTTTTGAATTTATCATGTTTTCATTGGAACCGAGCAGTTTACCGCAAAAATTACACCGTTACAAAACCAAACACGTTCTCAAGAATTTGACGTGGGCGATTTTTAAGAAAACATTATTTTGGACAAATTTCACGAACCTTTGAACATTTGTAAAATCCGACATCCTACGACTAGATTCTAGTAACGTTACCGAAAATCGTCCATGTCAAAATCTAGATCCAGTCCGATCACTAGTTTGGTGTGCATGTACTTTAACGCTCAAACTTCTTAGTTCTTCGCAGTAAAGTGCAACTCTCTGGATGGGCCTTTGTATATAAGTGATTTGGTAATCAACTGGGTTGTACCATTTGTACGCGAATATGAAAATTTAATGTATGGATTCGTGTTTACTGGATTATATCTAAGTGTACACGACTTGGCCATTTTTAGCTAAACGTCAAGCGTTCTATTAAAAACTTGCCTATACTTATTACTAAATATGTAAATGGCAGTAAAAAAATTATTAGTGTTGTTATTTTGAAAATGAAATAAGATAAATTTATTTCCTTCTAGTTCTTTTTCCTAGTACTGAAGTGTTCAATTTTAAAACATCAGGAGCCTTTACCCCTTAGCAACTAATAACAATATAATGTTGTTGAAAAAAAAAATCAATCAAAATTTGAATTCTTTTAAAATGGAACTGCACATATAATTAACATTTTACATTTTTTTTAGAAGGGGACAAGGAATTCATCTGACCTGTTATTCTTGGAAACTATGAAAAACCGAAAGTCTTTGTTAATCGTCTCGAGAAAACTTAACATAACCCGTAACACACAATTTCGAGTAGAAAAAATTATATTGTTCGCATGTACAGTGTGGGTGTAAAAAAAATATTATAGATCACGTTGTCACAAATCAGTCATCCGTCGTCGTCGATCAGATAACGACTCGAGAAACCTAATACCGCTTACTAAACACTTGAAACGCAAATTGGATACCGGCCAAACAACGGTAGAGATCGGTGTTAATATATTATAATAATAACAAAAAAAGCAATTTAGCCAGCCATTCTCCGATTTACGTTGATTTTATTCAAGCGGCTTTTGGTCAGATGTTAATCTAGTTGTCCCGTATCCGACTTGGACTTGGGCCGGAAAAGTAGAACTTTCTAAAATAGGTGTATACATATATACACCAATCATTTTACCCAAGTAGAAAACGCGTTTAAATTCTAATCAAACAAATCAAAATTTATAAATTGGATAAGTGTTTTTTTTTTTTTATAAATATTAACTGGCACAATGCGTGATAGCAAATCGACTTATATTGTATTCAACGTTGTTGGATTATAAAATTAGGTTAGAGGTCCAAGCATAAAAAAGAAGGAATTTTACAACAAACTTAAGAGTTCTTAAAATGCCGATAACTTATATATGAGCTTTATGAAATCAATAGGATGAATGCTTTCAACTTTCATTCCAAAAATTTATGGGAATCGGAAGAGCCTGATTTTAGATACAAATAAACATTAAGTGCCTATCGAGCTGAAAAATCTAACTAATTTACTTATTAAAGATCGGCCTTTTGGCCCCAGTAAGAAAGTATCGTATAAAAAAAAATTAAAATCCGTCCAATAGATACGCCGAAATAGATACTTTCGTCACATCCCAGGGAAAAATAACTTAAACCCTTTCGTTTCTGGGATTTTTTTTTCTCGAAAAAAAACCAACAATTTTTTTACGTATCGGACTGTTAATGATTATCAATATAGCTGTGTCGGTTTTTTTATCATCAATCTATACTAGAACTTGTGTTTAAAGACATTTTTAAAAATGATAGTACCGTTGTTAATATTTTATTCGAATTGTAAAATTAAATCCTCGTACGAGGATGTCATTAACGAAAAGGTTAAAAGTTTTGTAACTAGAAAAACATTGGTTGACAAATTTAAAATGGTACCTAGATCAATTTTTGTCAAATATTGCCTACCCTTTGCCCCTTATTAAAGGGCTCTTTCCATTTCTCTTAACGGCAAGGCGCAATTTAAAAAAAAAAATTCCCTAACGTGCCTAACGCTCTCTTTTCTCAGAGGGGGAAAGGCAAAGGTGAGGATGGCCTAAGCGCGGCGCTGAGATCGTATAAAGTATGCAAGCGGGGCGCACTGGCTAAGTACCTCTTTTTCTAAAAAGCCTGCCCTTAAAGCGATCTGGTTCTCTTTCATACGCCTTGCGTCCCTCGACCGTTTAGCGGCCATGTTGTTTTTCCGGCGTCTCGCCCAGTATTTTTCATCTTTAAGCCCGTCCGGCACAAACTACAAATGATAAACACGGTTAGATCAGTTTAACGCCGCTGTGATAGCGGCAAAAAAAAAAATACGAAAACAAACAAATCAAGTTAACGAGGCCCTCTCACCTGTTTCCTTGATTTCTTTACCATTGGCTGTGGTTTCAGTTCCTCGTCGGAAAACGGCCTTGTTCTCGGGTCGAAATCTCGGCTGGACGACGCGAACGACAATGCTGCACAACAAAACAAAAACGCAAAACAATTAATAATGATTGACGCCAACAGCATAACGATGATGATAATTATTGTTATTATTTTCATAGCGAGTCAAATACAAATTATTGTTATTTTTAAAACCACCCATTTAATCGTCACCAGAATTTTGAACGTACCGGGTGATTCTTTTAACGTCCTACACTAGTTTACTCTTAAAACAATTGCAATTTTTTAGTTTTTCTTTTAGAACAATTTCTTGTTTACGTTATCTTTCAATATTGTGGACAATATTCAAATTTTTTTCTTTTTTTGGTATTTTCTAGAGCCTTATAAACTTTTGAAACTTTAGTAACGTGTATATTTTTTCATTGAATTTTTAAATCAATTATATAGTTTATTAAATTTTTATTTTTTTTAAACGATGGCATCCGTATACTTTGTAATTTTAAACAACGCTCCTACTTTTATTTATTAACTATACTCAGTTAAAAATATTAAATATTTTCAGTAATTATTTGATGGTTATTCGTTGCAACAAACTATTAACAACGTCTGTTTTAATAATATTAGGTACTTTTGCAATTTTGAACCGGGTCGTTTATACTTATGTACGTTTTACGCCGAGTTGATGAGCAAAAACGTTTACTTACTTGAGTCAGCTGGCGATGGCGGGTTGATGGTGATCGGACTCAACGGTTCGCTCGGCGACGGTGACGGTTCGCGCTTGGTCAGTATGGTGGCCACTCCTCCGGCGCCGTTGGCCTGCAGATGTTGTATGGGGTGCAGCGTCAGGGGGGGCGGAGGCGACAGGCGACTGTTGACACCCGGCATGATGGGCCCGTTACCGGCCGATGAGACTATGGCTCCAGGGTTTGCGTTCGGTCCACTACCGGCCGGGGTGCCGCCGTTCTGTTGGTCACTTTCCACCGGCAACCCGTTTTCGGATAAGAATTCGTCCAAATCGCAGTACTATAACGCAAATTTTATGGAAAACCAAATTAAAATCAGATAGTCAAAAAGAGTCAGGAGTATATTTTTGCAGACCCGAATAGCAAAACAAAAATTCCGGAATTACAAAAACCCTATTTTCCGACCGAAAAAATTATGCGCTGCTTAAAATAATTTGAGCAATAAATAATAATATAATATTATATTTTATTTAAATATCGCCTCTATTGAAAGTAAAGCGATATCACCTATACCAAAAAGCGTAAGATTTATGGTATTTAATGGCCTATATATTATTGAAATAAAAAAGTTCCCGTTTGAAAAAAACAAGTCCATACTTCTCTTACGTTTAAGGAATAAAGATGAACAATTTTTAAGTATTGAAAAATATCTATTATTACAAGTACAGGAATATATATTTTTATATAAATAAACCTAAGGTAATGTATGCCTATGTAATGTATTGCAATAAAAAAAAAACATTACAGCGGGGTCGGCACATAATGGGCAAATGTATTTTTATTATTAGAGTGGGATACGAATAGGGTTGATCGACTGTCCATAATAATTTATTGTCATAGTTGCCCATAATATATCGTAATAACAATATAATAAAAAAATTTCAAATACCTGTTGACTGTTGATTCACTCACACATAACAACCTAGAAATTGACTACGGTCGAAGCGTAATTCCCCTCCCCCTTTTAGGGTTTCCTTAATAAATGAAAAGTTTGATTACAGATTTTTGAGAAACTTGTATTTTATGTTATAGATCCATGTTAGATCTACCTTCGGTCTAATTTTCAGACCTTAAGCGCTAAAACTTGATATAAAAAGCGAAATAAAAGAATAGTTTCCATCCCTGTTGGATGAGATTTTGTATGGTATGTTTTGGTTTGCAACGTTTATCAGTAGTACTGTGTCTAAATTTATGGAGCGCCGAAATTTAAAGTTGAAAAATATATACATTGTTAGAGTGTCTTGAAGGGGAAGGGGTAAACTTCATACAATTCACTTCATAAAACTCGACAAACTCTACACGTACGCGTAGAAATCAATTGTCTATCTCGTTCCGTTATCGAACCACGAATAATTATTTGCCTATAATATAGGGCCCCCCCCCCATCGCCCCGCCTACTCGATAACACAAGTGCGCAAATATGCGGGTTTTACATGGTAAGAAGCAGCCCATTGTCTATTTTTAGTAAATACATGACACACGGTCACATGACTCAAAACAACTCAAACGTTTCAACGATTTCGAGTACATCATTTTGTCACATCTCTAATTCTTTTTGGTGGCAACCGTACTATATAACAATTTTAAAGACGTTTGCACAACTCGAGACCCCGACCTCTCTCATCCCCACAATTTATTATCACTGTGTTCTGCAATCGACCGACATTAAATGAGATGTCCTTGGTTCTGATCCAGTTTCCCTCATAAATATTTAGGTAGGTATTTCCAACAGACACGTATAATGTGTTGTTCTATAATATTATATACTAAACCTTATGACGGGAACTTTAAAGATAAATAATTCAACGATGAGGAGTCGTGAATGGATTTATCGTTTTTTTGTAAACGAATTACGAGTACTGCAATACAGAGCATATACACATAATGTTATTTATATTTTATACTAATATGATAATAACATAATAATAATATGCTTATCCCTCGAAACCTTGACTCACCTTGAGGTCGTTATCGTAAGGTATGGTTTTGTTGTCCCAAAGGTTTGGTCCCAGGAACGCTGATTGAGATTCTACGACGTTGGTCCATAAAAGTTCGGTTTCTTCTTTTTTGTCAATGTTTCCACCGTCCCTCGGCACTCCGCATGCTTTACCTGAAAACGAGTTATTTTTAAACGTTAACAATGACAGTTGTAAATTTTAATAATAACGAGCGACGTCAAAAGTTAACAATTAACGTTGCCGTGTAACGTTAGGGATTGGATTAACAAGACCACCAATATTGCGTACGTCATTAATAATTAGTATCGCTATGTAAAGGTACAACTGTGCAAGATGTAAAATAAACGCTATGAAATTTGGATCATAACGGTTGGCCGGCCTTGAGTGTCAAGGTAAGACCGCCACGGTGTCAAAACTAACGTCCGGGTAGACCCCGCTCGATCGTTGTTTGCAATAATATTGTATTATTAATATTATTGAAAATAATTTACTGCCGACTAATATTAATTTTTTATTAAGTTCCTCTCGTATTTTATTGAATTCAATTGAATTATTTTACTTTTTTTTATTTTGTTATCATTAAGTAGAATAAATTATAACAATATAATATTTATTAAAATATTTAAATACAAAAAAAAAAAAATTCCCACGAAAAAAAAATTGTTTTTTGCAAGATTGGCGTGGTATCACGAGTAACAAAATATAATAGTAATACAAATAGTAACATTTCTTTTGGTCAAGGTTTAAAACAAACATTTTAACCAAAATAGCCTAATCATCACTAGTCACTAGCACTTATTTAAATGTATCTGTTAACATATGTATTAATGTATCTATGTACACTATTAACTTGAACTGAATAGTGTATAGTACTGGTAGCTACCAGTCTATGATATCCACCACAAGTAGGTGGATATTAATAATACAAATTGGAATATTTTTAAACACATAACATATTTAAATACTTTTTTATTGCAATAGTTTTGCTCGAATATTTTACAAGTGTGTCCATACTGTACATGTAAGCATATAAAGTTTTCAAAATTGATAATCGAAACTTTTTGCTGAAATTCATTGAAAGTGTCAAGGGTCTTTAAAACAAAAGTATTTTATGTAAATAATAATAATAATAATAATGATAATAAAAGTCAAACTAGAATTTAAAAAAATATATTTCCTATGTGCTGCTATGAATCAAAATCAGCTCTAAGACTGAAATCCGCAATCAGGAAAAAACGTTTTACCGCGGTTATCATACAAAAATGCCATAAACGGATAATTCATTACAAACGGCTTAAGCGCGGTGCGTGCAAATATTCTGAGCACTTCAAGGATGACGGAAGGTATATTAATACACAACGTAAATCTAATGGTACAGCAATACTAAATCCTGACACTTAAGGAACAGCACACCAATAATTAATCTGCGTCCGTCTGCCATCAACAAGAAGCCAGTGAACACAACTGTCCGAATTGACAACCTGGTGATATTATGGAAGAAAAAAATATTAATTAAATCAATAATTATTATAAATCTATTCGTGGAATATTCCAATAAATACACTGCATAAAATAAGACGGACGGATGATTTCGATTTTAATCGTTTGTTTTATAATTATTATATCTCGTTGAAGAGTTTACCAAAGACGAGACGTCCTTGGCCGACGATATTATACGGAAAAAACCTTAAACGACAAAAGTCGACGGATAAATCATTTCGCATTAATTACAATATTAAGGTGCTCTTCAATTCTCATCACTTTCGTCATTTATACTCTATACATATATAGGGTTATCATTTTATTGTGAACCACTCAGTATCTCATGCGGTTTAATAAGGAATTTAATTTTTGTGTTTTTATATTGTTTTATACAATGTGATCTCAATTTTTCACAATTGTTTTTGTTTATACCGCCCTTCTAACTTAGTTTTTTTCATAGCAACTTTTGAAACTTCCTGTTTTGTCTGTATATGTATTATGAATTATGGTAATTATGTTATTGTTATTAACAGTCAGTAAAATAATTTAATTATAAAACAAAACATTAATTCCCATAAAAACATAGAAAAAAACTAAAAACGTTTTTAAATATATTTTCCTAGCATTTGCACGATATTTATCAATTATTAATTTTATATTTTGTTGTATGTCACATAATTAAATAGACACTAAAATATATACTTGTAATTATTTACAGTATGATCTTTAAGAAAACTCGAGGAGGATGCGTAGTAAGAGAGATTTAATAAAAGTAAACAATCGATAAATAAAGGAGAAATTCGTAGGGTAAAATAGGAAAATATTTAAGATTTTTTAGCGGGCCTGAGGTTTTCAGTTTTTTAGGTTGGGCCGTCTTAGGTCATAGTGGATTCTAAAATGTGTACTTCAGGAAAGCTACAGATTTCCAAAAACCTAGATTTTGGCCAAATTTGCAGACCTGTGCGTTTATAAATTTACCATTGAAAATTCTGAGAGAGGAGGTCAAGTCTCTGGCCCTGCTCTTAAAAATTGCTTATTAATAATAGGCCATATTATAAGAGAAAAATATAATTAGTATTAAGTCAAATAGTATGCTTTTCTTTAAGAAAATTAATTCTAAATTTGTATGTTATTATTCATAAAATACATATGGACCACAATACGCAACTTGTGCATTTCATTATGCGAACAATCGAATTAAAATTGTGTATTGTTATTATCATCTAAAAATACAAATATATTAATAAAATGTGCATTTAGTTTACTATCGAGTAATTCCCATAGGACTTTCATACAGTATCCCGGGAATTGTGGGGTTATGGGAGACTTTTAACGGGTTTCTGCGCCATCGTTAGAGATTCAAATAACAATGTTAGTGGTCATTTTTCGTTCAATTTTTTCTTGACTCGATTCCTACACCCAACCGCCGTCGTGGTATTGATGAAATACAGACGGGAGGTGTGGAAACCGCCGTTCACGAGAAGCTAATAGGCCTGTGATTCACAATGACAACAGTGGCGTACTACCGGGTTTGCATTGCAGTAAGCTTGTTTACGGTTCCATTGTGCCAACGAGCAAACGAACGGACAAACCTACATTTACCGGTCTGATAGCAATAATTGTGCCAAGCGGGCACAATAGTAATAACGATGATAATGATAATAATGAGTGGAAGTGAGCGGCCGTCTGTTTCGTAATGCAGGAAGTAGGAAGCCGTGTAACGGATTTGACACGTTCTTGATTCCATTACTATTCGTTTTCACTTTCTTGCCCGCAAAAACATCAATCTGCAATAGTCATCTCTCCCTCTTTCATCTTAGTTGTGCGCTTACAATTTTTTTCTTCCGACACTCTCTTTCCTCGCCCGTCTCGCCGTTTCCTCCTCCTCATCCTCCTACTCTTCAACGCATTCCAATCCCGTTTCACAGAGTCCGCAATAATATCCACCGTCAACACTATCGGCACATAATATAGTGTGTGGCGGTAGCTGTATACTAGACGAATAATTTCCAAATTTCAGAAGAGATTTGCCGTTTGACGGCGACTGGGTGTTTCACTTCCTATATTTATTATTCATTTATTACGGTCAAAAGTAGAAAACTTTTAAGACAATATATTTATTTACATTTTCGACAACGGGCGGCGGAGGAGAGATAAGAACGCGATCGCTCGCGCCCGTCGCAGAGATAACCATCGCACTTGCGCGCGTTGAATAATAATAATACAATTATTTACAAAATAGGTAAATAAAACATGATGCGCGTTGAGCAAACCGTTCAATATAGAATTGTTGTGCTCTCACGTTAAGAACTATCGGTTAGGTTAGGTTAACAACCTACCAATCGGTATACGATGAGATTAAAGCATGTTATTATTATTTAGATAATGCGCCCAATGACAGAGGTACGATAATGTAAACTTCAATAGACCGCAATAAATTAATAGTGCATTTTATTGTTATATTAACTATAATAATAGTTATGATACGATATGAGGTACAACAAAATAATACAAACGAGTTATTATTTATTTAGTAAATATAACTAAATAGTAAATACCATTGGAAATGCTTAAGAGCCGTCGGCGTGACTGGAGTTGATGTTTCAGAGGATTTTGGTACTCACAAATTAGGTAAACTTCAGAGTTCTCTGACTTGGTTAGGTTAGATAGGCCGGAGAAATATAGAAACGAAATACTAAACTATTAATTACAGAATACAAAAAATACATTATTTTGTATCTGAAATACTAATGTTTGCCCATCGCTGTTCGCACATCAGCTATCTGCCACCTTAACAGTTATCAAACAATCTTGGGACCTATATAAGAGCTGTGGGAGAGTATTATTTCTCCAGACTTTAAACTGTCTAGGACCATTCAGTGGTTGAAAGACAAGCCGCACCTATTAAAAATAAATTTAAACTAATCTAATATATTGATTTTGAATAAAATACTATTATATTTCTAACTAAAGTAATTTCTGAATAACAAAACGAAAGTTCTAAATGATTAACATGAAATAATTGCTATTAGGGTGATTGTCAACTCCAATCTATGTGAATTACTAAAAATGAAAATATTAACTATGTATCTGTAATTAATGTATATTATATTGTTACAAAGATTAAAATTTTGCGACAGTATTATATTTAGTAATTTTTCGAATCTATCAAGTTTCAGTGTAGACAAAAAAATCAAATCAAACACAAGTTACTACTGAATTTCGACGACGATAAAAATAGAAATAATTCCCTGTACTATGTCTTCTTCTTCGCGTGTCGGTTAGCGGTATTTAAATTCTGTAATAATCTTTGGTAATTTATCATTTTTTTTTTACAAAGAGTATAAATTATGAACGTGATAATCTAAACCGATCATAGCACGGCCGTATTATAAAAGAAAGAAAGAGAGAGAGAGAGTAAAAAGTACCGTTAGTAGTCAGGTGGATATATATATGTATACATATATTTTAAGCCCGCGCAAAAACTTTCTAACGTGGTCGTTCGGTAGACCATTTTCTGCGACTAGATTTTCTAGATTGTTGGTCGAAATTCAAATTTTAATCAACATAATAAGATCTGCGTGCAAAAAATAAATTACAAGATAAGCTCTCACGTCGGCCCTGTAATTCGTGAGACATTTTTTTTTTTATATATTATTACTTTAAATAT